GTCACGTGGGCGGAGCCAAAAAAGTCCCCCAATGAGCAGCTCCGTGGTCTGAAAGGGCAGGGAAACAGCCCAATGAGCATCACCGCAGAGGAGCCAATCAGCTAGATGTTGCTGGGGCCGCTGTGAGCCAATCATCAGGCGGCAGCTGGAAGTTTGCTGGGGCCCCTTCGGCTGTGGCTCTCAACAGTGATGAATTACATTGATTGATTTCTGTATGTTGAACCAACCTTGCATCCTTGGGTGAATCCCACTTGATCATGATGCACGATCTTTTTGATAGGTTTTTGTATTGGAATTGCCAGAATTTTATTGAGAATTTTTGCATTTATGTTCATTAGAGATATTAGTCTGTAGTTAGCTTTCTTTGATGTGTCTTTGCCTGGTTTTGGAATCAGAGTGATATTGGCCTCATAGAATGAGTTTGGAAGTGCTGCTTCTTTTTCTATTTCTTGAAATAAATTGAAGAGTATTGGTATTAGTTCTTCTTTAAAGGTCTTGTAGAACTCAGTTTTGAATCCATCCGGTTCTGGGCTTTTCTTCGTTGGTAGACTTTTGAGGGCATCTGCTATTTCGTCACTTGAAGTTGATCTGTTTAAATTGTGTATATCATCCTGATTCAATTTGGGCAAATTTTATCACTCTAGAAATTTGCAGATGCCTCCGATGTTTTCTATTGTATGGGAGTACAACTTTTCAAAATAATTTCTAATTATCCTCTGTATTTTTGTAGTGTCTGTTGTGATATTTCCTTTTTCATCATGTATGTTAGTGATTTGAGTTTTCTCTCTCTTGGTTAGCATGTTGTTTTGTTCAATTGTTTTTTGTTTCAGTTTCATTGATTTCATCTCTGCTTTTAATTATTTCGTGTCTTCTGCTGCTTTTGGTGTTGATTTGTTCTTTTTCTAGGGCTTTGAGATGTAGTGTTAAGTCATTTATTTGTTGACTTTTTCTTCTTTTAATGAACTCCATGCAATGAACTTTCCCATTAGAACTGGTTTCTTAGTGTCGAAGAGATTTTGATATGTTGTATTAGTGTTCTCATTAACCTCTAAAATTCGTTTAATCTCCTCCTTGATGTCTTCTGTAACCCATTGTTCATTCAGTAGCATATTATTTAGTCTCCAGGTGTTGGAGTGGATTTTATTTCTTATTTTATCATTGATTTCTAATTTCATTCCATTATGATCTAATGCAGAGTAGTATCTCTATTTTTTTTTTTATATTTGCTAAGAGTTGCTTTATGGCATAGTATATGGTCTATTTTAGAGAAGGAATCCACCTGCTGCTGAGAAGAAAGTATATTCTCTCATTGAAGGTTGGAATATTCTATATATGTGAGTTAAGTCTAAATTATTGATTGTATTATTGAGTTCTGTAGTTTCTTTGTTCAGCTTTTGTTTGGAAGATCTATCTAGTGATGAAAGAGGTATATTAAAGTCACCCAAAATTATTGCATTGTGGTCTATTTGACTCTTGAACTTGAGAAGAGTTTGTTTTATGAATGTAGAGTCTCCATTGTTTGAGGCATATATATTTATAATTGTTAAGTATTGTTGGTGTATGGTTTTCTTTAACAGTATATAGTGTCCTTCTTTATTCCTTTTGATTGACTTTAGCTTGAAGTCTACTTTATTTGATATAAGGATGGAAACCCCTTCTTGTTTCTGCAGTCCATGTGAGTGGTATGATTTTCCCAACCCTTCACCTTCAGTCTTTTTCTGAGACAAGACTCTTGGACACAAGAGCATATTGTTGGGTCTTTTTTTTTTTTTTATCCATTCTGCCAGTCTATGTCTTTTGATTGTTGAGTTTAGGCCAGTAACATTCAGGGTTATTATTGAGACATGATTTGTATTCCCAGCCATTTTTGTTTATTTTTGGTATTTAATGTGACTTGTGGTTTCTCCTCTGATTAGATTTTCCTTTACTGTAATCCCTCCCTCTGCTAATTTTCATCATTGTTTTTAATTTCCTCTTCTTGGAATATTTTGCTGAGGATGTTCTGTAGTGCAGGTTTTCTAGTTGTAAATTCTTTTAACTTTTGTGTATCACGGAAGGTTTTTATTTTATCATCAAATCTAAAGCTTAGGTTGCTGGATATAAGATTCTTGGTTGGCATCCATTTTCTTTCAGAGCTTGGTATATGTTGTACAATCTGCTGGCTTTGGGGGTCTGGGTTGAAAAATCTGAGATATGGGTTGGTCTCCCCCTATCTGTGATCTGATTCCCCTCTCTTGCAGCTTTTAAGATTCTATCCTTATTCTGTATGCTAGGCATTTTTATTATAATATGCCTTGGTGTAGAACAGTTGTAATTTTGTACATTTGGTGTCCTGTAACCTCTTCTATTTGGTTTTCCAATTTGTTCTTCATGATTGGGAAATTTTCTGATATTATCTCATTGTAGAGATTGTGCATTCTTTTGGCTTGAAACTCTGTGCCTTCCTTTATCCCAGTGACTCTTAGATTTGGTCTTTTGATGCTGTCCCATAATTCTTAGATATTCTATTCATGGTTTCTAACTTTCTTCACTGTGATCAATTTTATTTTCCAGATTGTATACTTTGTCTTCATTATCTGATGTTTATTCCAAGTGATCTAGTCTGTTGGTTATGCTTTCAATTGAGTTTTTTGATTTATTGTATCCTTCATTTGAAGGATTTCTGTTGTTTTTTTTTTCCCCAGAGTGTCTCTCTCTCTCTCTCTCTCGGAGTAATCTTTTGCTACTTGTATTTGCTCTTATCTCATTGTTGGAAGGATCAATTTTTGCTTGTATTTGCTCATTTAGGTCATTCTTTAATTCAAAGATTATTTTATTTATTTATTTATTTATTTTTTTTGAGAGAGAGAGAGAGAGAATTTTAATATTTATTTTTTATTTTTCGGCAGACACAACATCTTTCTTTGTATGTGGTGCTGAGGATCAAATCCGGGCTGCACGCATGCCAGGCGAGCGCGCTACCGCTTGAGCCACATCCCCAGCCCAAGATTATTTTAATTATGAATCTCTGAACTGCTTCTCTGACATTTCATCAACTTCACTGATATTATGGGTTCTGATATTACAGTGTCCTGGTTTGTTTGGGGGCCCTTTCCTCCCTTGTTTTTTTTTCTGTTGTCTATGTGTCTGCCTTTCTTGCAGTGTGGATCCGAGATGTTACAGTTTCTTTCCTATATTTTTGTGGTACCTGTGCAGAATGTCTTCACCTCACCTTGATGTTGGGCTTCCAGACCCTGCTGGTGTCCCTCAATAAATGCTACTACATCCTGGATCTGGATCCTGCTTAAGTTGGAATGGGTGGGTCTGGGCCGCTGGGCTTGACCTCCTGTGGTAGTCTGCTGGTTGGAAGGGGAAGTCCTGCACCAAAGGCTAGACTTTGGTGGTGTCTGACCTGCTTGTGGAGGAGTGAATCAGGACCACTGAGAGCAGGGATCCCGGGTAGGTTGGAGTGGGTGGATCTGGGCAGCTGGGATTACAGGTGGCTTATAGTACACTTTAATGTTCTAATATGTAAAAATATATCACAACTTGAAAAGTTTAGTAATTATCTGTGTATAATTGGTTTTCTTTGGAATCATATGTATATATATCTATATTGTCTTTAAAAGCATTCTGAAAATCAGGATAGCTTCCGCAGACGGCTAAAGAGATCCATGTCAGTGCTCCTGTCAGTGGTCAGGAGCTGGGATTAACTACGTGATAAGCATGAGTTGGTGGGTCAGGGTAGAGCTCAGTGGTAGAGCATTTGCCTAGCATGTGTGAGGCACTGGGTTTGATTCTTAGCACCACATATAAATATGTAAAATAAAGGTCCATTGACAACTTAAAAAAGAAAAAAGTTAAGAACCCTAGACAAAGCTGCTCTGTTAGTGAAGTTTGATTTCAGTTTTGCTTTATGGTGTTATGGCTTGAAACTAGGGCCTTGTGTATGCTAGGGGAGCACTACAGATTTAGTTTTTAAACTACAGACTATTGAGAATCATGAGTAGTGTGACTGCAGTGGCCTAATATAAGGAGGCTTAATGGTCAACAGTTGGAGAGAACTGCTGTTGCTAAGTACTTGTCCATCTGCTCTTTTTTTAAATTTTTTAACATTTATTCTGATTTGTTATACATGATGGCAGAATGCAATTCATTTTATATTATGCATGTAGAACACAATTTTTCAAGACACTGGTTATACACAAAGTATTTTCACACCATTCATGTCTTATATATGTACTTAGGGTAATGATGTCTAACTCATTCCACCATCATTCCTATCCCTCTTGCTCCCTCCTCTCTTTCCCCCTCCCTCCCCTTATATCCATCTGCTTTTGTCATGTGTCTACAACAAAATAGTCCTGAATGGCAATCATATTAGCTTCTGGTTCTTACCCACAACTCTCCCCCTTCCACTAGCTGTTTTAGGATACTTTTGCTAGGTTTAGAAATCCTCATACTGAAGCCCAGCTGCTAATATTGAAACTTCCAAGAATGTATAATTCGTTACCATGCTTATTTGTGTTGATCTAAATCATAGGACATCAAAATTCTCCAGACATCAGCAACAAATACAATTGCTGTTTTAGTGAGTTGCCATGTTATTGGGGAACACTCTAGATAAAGAAACAACATCCGTGACCACAGCTTCCCAGTCTGAATTGTGTTGGACAGCAGGAATTCTGTTTGATTCTGCTGAAATCTAATTAATAAATTTAGATTATTTGAGCTAAATGATTTTTGTGTCATAGTGGACCACAGATTGTAAAGACATACCGTTAGATACATGTAACACCAAATGTAATTGAATAAATATGGCTTTTAAGAAATATTATACTTAGATATAAGTTGATGGAAAGGCAGAGGGAAAACCTTCATAAAAAACCCTAATATCCAATTATATGAGGACAACTTTCTGTTTGAATCCTAAGGTCTTGCATATTTAAGATAAGTAATTTATGAGGATATGCACCAGGAACTATATGGCTCAGTTAAAAATGAAGAAGTTTCAAATACAGTGTGGTGAAAATGGTGAAGTCATTTTTATTTTCAGTGCTTTGACAAAATACCCCATAAAATTCAAAACTTCTACCATTATACAAAAATAGGTGTGTACAAGTGATATCTTCTGTCTTCATCACCAGTAGCAAATATATTAGGCAGAAACATGTAATTTCAGTAGCCTTAAATGAAAAGTGCAGGACACCGCAAGCTACACATTCAGCAGTATCATATCGGCAAAAGTTTAATCTTTTCACCCATTTGATAAATACACAAGGTTTATAATTTAATCATTTAAATTAACATTCCGCAAATATACATGTAATTTAGTGATTACTGTGCATGAATACATACACAATGCTTGTATGTACAAATTCCAGTTTGTTTTCATGTGCAAGAGATCTGATACAATCATAAGCTGTGTTTGTTTTGGTCCCATTAAATATTCACAATATAAAAGCACAAAAGAATCTTCGATTTACAAAAGAGAATTTGTTTAAAATCACTTCAACTTTTGATGTTTTTAAAGTATTATCTTCTCATACCACCATGAAATGTAGTAGTTGAACCTATAAGAGAAAAACAAGACATTTTGCATGATTTTAAATTAGATTGTTCTACATAAATTAGTTGGTATAGATAACAAAAAGATTACTCTTAACTCTCCATCAGAAAAAATGCCCTTTGTTCCTTAAACGTCTTATTCATAGTTCAACTGATTTTTAAAGAGATTTCAACTATATTTACAAGTCATGAAGAGTGGTTCTAAAGCAAGGAAGCGAGACTCATGCTAATATAAAATGTTCTAAAGGTTGAAGTTCTATATATTTTTAGTATATCCTAAAAAATATTTTGGTCTTCAGATTCTGGGTCATGTGAAATTTGGATGCTTAAAACAAAACAAACCTTTAACCAACAAACAGACTTCAACTATAATAATGAGAGTTTCCTAGTACTACAAGTTGCTTGTGTTAAACAGTGAATTTTTTGAATGAATGAAGAGATAACTACTAACTCAAAATAATCTGATATTAGTCCAGTTTGTGGGACTAGTAGGAAAAGAGAATCATTAATAAAAGTTTAAAAAAAAAAACTGTAAAAGTAGACTGAATACAATCAGTTAAACTAAAATGATTCAGAATCTCTGGATCAGAAGTGAACTAAAGGAAGACAGGGAAAAGAAGTTTTCTCATAATGAATAGAGAATCCACTTCTGTTATCAAGTATGATATTGATATTTTTGAGGAAAGAAAAGTAAAAGATCATTGTTAGGATTTTTTTTGGATCACTCTTAAAAGCACCACGCAGTAGTAGGGATAATGGTTGTACTAAGTGCTCAATCCTCTTCCTCACCAGTATCTGTAGGCCTCACCACTTTCTACCATGCATTACCTCAGAGCACCTTCCCACATTAGTCTTCAATCATGTGTTTTCTATGAGCAATCTACTGAATGAAGAGATAGTAGGGGAATTATTTGGGGGTGGGCAGGATTTGAGGTGATAAATCATGTCTTGAATACTCTAAAGTTAGTTGTGCTGCTGGTTACACAGTTTAAGCTTTAGCTAACTTGGTAAGTGAAGTAGATTTTATTCTAAACAATGAGGGTTAAGGAGTTTCAAAATGAGGAGAGCTGTGGGTCTAGCACTATGGCACTACCAATAAGTGGTTAAACTTAAGCACCTGTCTGTACAGTTCCAAGTCTTCTTTGTAGTGCCTCTAGCCGAGTGATATAATCTGCCAGGGCTCTATCAGGATCATAATTCTGAAGGTGAGAGCACGCTGTGGAACCAGGATTTAAATCAGCTAGGGTGCCTGGGGACCTAAGGATTAAAAGCAATGTACATGAACCAAATTACCCAGAAACAATGCAATCACATTACACACCTGCCTCCTCCCCCACCCCCGAAAGGCAGGCCACGTACATATTATATGATCTATATGCCCCATGCTTCTAAGTTTGGGATGGGAAAGAAATTGGTCTTCAATAAATTCAAAGAAGCTAGGGCTTCATGAAAATGCCAAGTATAAAACCTGTCAGTTTTTCAGTAAGTGTTGGATATGTAAAAATGCATCTGTCATGCAGACTAACATTTTCTCTAACGGCCAGGGACTTATCAATTTTAATCAACACTTTTTCCAGTGTCTAACTCTTGCATATAGTAAGCAACATTTGATCAGCTCTGTTTCCTTTAACCTTAGAAACCATTTACAAATTTAAAAACTAGCTTTGATTCTGGGCCATAGGTTAAACAAATTACAACTAAACATGTCCAACTGCCAGAGTGTCCATCTTTCTCTGTTAAATATTAATACATTTAATTCTTACCTATTTTGAAACGGTAAAAGGCACCTAGGAGAATCCAGATCTGATCTTGAGCGGTATGTTGTATGTCTTGGTTCTCCATCTAGCTCTAGTTCACCAGAAGAATGATAAAATGGGTCAGTCTTTTCAGCACCTTAATGTAATGCAAGATGTTAAGAAACAAAGCAAAACACAACAAAAACTAAAAACCAAGCCCTTGAACATTTCTACAAAACAGTATTATACCATGTGAATATAGTGTATTATACCATGCTGTCTTACTTAAAAGACCTCAATCTTAGGGTTTCTGAATGTGTTATCATTTGGGGGAAAAGATAATGTGGATAAGAAAAATTAGACTAATGTAACCAGATCCTTTATGACTCCACTCTCCTTTTATAGGAAAAAAATTGCAATCAAGATTTGCTAATTTTTGGTATGACACAGATAAAAATTTCTCAGTGCAAGCATTTATATTTCAAAATACTTTCATGGAAATTTCCCTTTTCTCTGCTGCTAAGCTGTTGGTAGAATATCTCCAGGTAGATTCTCTGTACTCTGTGCTCTCCTGCTTTTGACCTCATCCTTATATCCCAAATGTTCAAGCTCTAATGTTCTTTCTACTTCATTCTAGGTGTAGAGAGAAGGAATTTTAACTGTTCTTATTTTTATACAATGTAGTAGTAAACTCAAATGATTTGAGTATTATTAGATCATGAAAACTTCAAACCATAACCGTTTTACATGACTAATAGCTATTCTCTCTTGAACCCAGAGCCTTAAGTGCCCCTACTGGGTAATCTGGGACAAATACCATGTGTTTTCCAGTGCTAAATTTTTCATCTGTAAAGTGAGAATAATAGTAATTGTGATTACACCAAATTGGCAGAGTACATGAAAAAAGCAGGGCTTAGTGTAGACCAGTGCTCCATAAAAATCAGCAATTCTTACTCTCTTTAAAACAATGAAGTCCCTAACCTTGTTAGTTATAAGCTCCTTTATCTTTGGAAAACACTGGCTCCAGAATTTGCTATTTGGAAGATATTACATTTTCAGTAATTTTAGAGGGCTGTAAATGTAGAAAAATGCTATTTTGACTTTACCTGGATTCAGTTCAAAGCCATCCCTGTTAACATTGGTGGAACCAGAACCTGTGACTTGCTGCCACCGTTGAACCAAAATTTTCATTCTAAAAAAAAAGATTCCAAGATAAGACATCACAGCATAAAATACACCTTCTACAAAAATTATTTAAATATGAACACAGATAAGATTTCAACATAATCACAATTTCCTAATCCAAAACTATGTACATGTGCCTAGGTTGATGGCAAAATTAACTGGAACAGAAGAACACAGTTGTAAGCTCCCCTCACTTCATTTCCAAGGGGAAGCAGAGGTCTTTGGTGTTACCAGAATCAGGTTCTAGCTTTACGGATTAATGAGACAGGAAGAGATGGAGGGCAAAACTACACAGAAAGAAAGTAGCCGCAGGAAACAGAATAGTGGATGAAAGGCAGATGAGAGGAAAAAAGAATAGAAGGACCCATAAGAGGGAGCTGGAGGATGAGGGAGGCCATGTGACCAGGAACAAAAAACAATGCTGGCTTTAAATGAATGGGGGCATTAATGTCATCATATAGCTGCATTAGGTTTGCTGCATGGCCCATCTTGGCTTAGAGAGCTTTCTGGAGTGCCAGGGCTCTGTCAGGATCATAATTCTGAAGGTGAGAGCACGCTGTGGAACCAGTCTGTTTCAAGACTCAATTTTAAGAGAGTCAAAATATAAGTCTCCCCAAATTCCTCTAATCAAAATGACTGGCTAACTCCTGAGACTTCACATGAGTGTCTCCTAAGTTCTGTGCATATGGCCCTTCCCCAACAGAAAGTGAGCTGTCTTTGGATTTTAGGCAGGTATTACATCTTTTTCATCAATGTATCTGCCAGTGCTTATCCTTTGTTTGCCAGACACAAGGTGATGTTGGGAATGAGAAGTGGGAAAGGAGAAACTGGAGTGTGAGACTACAATAAGGAGAAGAGGCAGGCACGGTGGAAGACAAACAGGTTAGACCTGAGCTGCTTTTAGAGAGCCAGCATGGGTGCAATAGAGAGACCAGGCTAATTGTGCCTACTGAGTTTATAACCCCTCCTTGTCCCCTTTTTCTCATTTGTGAACTGACATTTGGAACTAAGGAAACTCAAGTTTCCAGTTTAAAAACACAGAAACAAAAGCAAAACTCATATTTTTCAGAAGAAAAAAAAAAAAAAAAAAGCAAAATCCTTTGAAGAAGCATCAAATGTGACCTGACAAGAACTACTTTAAGAAACAAAATTCCTTTGGGACTCTGCTGAGTTTCAGAGAAATAAAAAGGAGGGTATACATGGAGAAGCCTAAGTGTCTGAGTGATCTTTTAAAAATTTATTTTATTTTTTTAGTTGTAGATGGACACAAACCTTTATTTTTATGTGGTGCTGGGGATCAAACCCAGTGCCTCACACATGCTAGCCAAGCGCCCTACCACTGAGCCTCAGCCCCAGCCCCTGATTATCTTATCTACTAGTTAGATTAGAGGACAGTAGTGGTTCAGGACTACAAGGTAGTTTCAACCACATATGGAATGAATGCCAAAGTTCCTAGCTTGGAACTACTAGGAAAAGAGTGACAAAAGCACTAGCAGAATCCCTGAAGGCCAACCTTGGACCTGAATGCAGAGGTAGACCAGGGCTTTCCAGAGCTGGTTACAAAAACAGGTTATTTTAGTAGGAAAGGAAGACAGATGTGTGCCAGCCTAAGGTGTGATTTTTCAAAAAAACTTTTCCTTTTTATGATATCTCTTATGTCTATGTATGTATAAGCTAGTTCATAGGTCTATTCAAATTAAAAAATGACAATTGGACTGGATGTGCCAGCTTGAGTCACCAGCTGCATGTACCTAAGAAGGCCCTTTCCAAAGGGTATATTTACACAGTACAGAATAAAGAATCCCTGCTAAAAGGATGAAAACCCAGAGAGAAAGTTATATTTTAGGGATGGCAAAGAAATACTATACAAACTTTTTTTCCCTCCCTATGGTACTGGAGATTAAATCCAGAACCCCACTGAGCCATATCCCCAACCCTTTTTTGCTTTTTATTTTGACATAGTGTCTCAATAGGTTGCTGAGACTGGCCTCAAACTTGCAATGCTCCTGCCTTAGCCTTCTGAGTAGCTAGAATTACAGGACAAACATCCCTTTAGAGGGTCTCTGAATAAAATCAATTTTCTTTCAAGAACTTTACCGTGAAATTGCAATGGACACTCTGACAGCTGAACGAAATCTGGCTAAGCCCTTTGGGCGGCTGATGAACTCCAGATTGGTGAAGGCTGGCTGACCCCCCATCCGGGCAAGCAGCGTTATGGTGGCATCCTCACATTCTTGGAATTCGCCCAATAATTGCAGCAGGTATTTCTTCTGATAAATGAGAGCTTTACGAAAACTTTCTGCCCTCAAGTATTTACCATAAGTCCTCTACATTTAAAGAAGGGAAGAACATAAAGTCATTATTAAGAAGTCATTCAAATTGTTCTCTAGGGGATGATTATTACCTAGATTAAAAAAAAAAAAAAAGCAGTTGTAGGATGGCAGGTACTGTTTTTAGCTTCATCAGCAAAGTTGAAGGTTAATGTAACTTTAACCATTATAACTTTGCCACTTTGTAGTCAATGGTATGTAAATATTATAGTTATGATTTTAGTTTGAGTTTTTTAGCCCCTGTTCATGATATTATTGTAAATATTTTTGTCTTCCTATTATCATTTGTGTTTTCTTATGTATAGAGCTATCTTTTTCATCTGAGAATTTTTAAAGTTTCATGGAGCTATTTTATTATTGTGGTCACTCATCTATTTAGCTTTTTAAATAAGCCAATTATTCTGTTACTGTATGAGTCATAAATTTATGTTTATTCCATAATCAGAATAAATATTCCCAATACTTTTCTTTCTCTTCATTTTGGATTTTACATTAAGTGATTATGGTAGTTTGACTACAATATTAATCTCTACACATTAGAGAGGCTACTCCAAGGGCTTCCCATCTTAGGGCACAATGTTCTTACACTGACAGTAGCAGTATGTTTGTAAGGAATTGAAAAGACAACAGTACTGTTTCTCTATTGAGACAGAAACTGTGGGCGGAAGGACAACCAGCTCTGGGTGTTGACACCGTGATTGAGCTTAACCTGTTACCAGTCCTCCCAGAAGAGGCATGCCTCTTCACAAACCTTCTGTGACATGCTAGAGACCTTGCAATCATAACACACTGAATGGCCTCCGGAGACAACCTGAGCGCCACCCACATTTCTTTAGTCTGTTTGAGTAAGGGCAGAGAGATGAAAAAAGGCAAAAAATGGAGGACTATCATTAAAAGGAAGATGTCACCTACCTTTAGTGAGGTATTTTCAGAATCAGTGTTCAGATTCTGAAGTAAAGTGTTATTTCTCAGTTCAGCTTTCAGTTTATATACTTCAGCTTCCGTTTTTTTTAAGGTTTTCTGAAGAGCTGATTTTTCTCTGTTCCATATTTCTTTTTCAGAAGCAATAATGGCTTCAAGGTTGGCATCACCACAGAATAAAAACCTAGAAGACTGAAGAGACAACAGCCCACTTATATAATTTCCTGCCCTTGTTGGTGGTACCAGGGCTTGAACCCAGAGGCACTCTACCACTTTAATCATGTCCCTAGCCCTTTATATTTTGTTTTGAGACAGGGTCTAAGATGCTGAGGTTGGCCTCAAACTTGTAATCCTCTTGCCTCAGTCTCTGAATTACTAGCATCATAGGTGTGTGCCACAGTGCCCAACTACTTACATAAAGAACATATCTCTGAAGAAAAAGCTGAATTAAAGATATTAAAAGTATCCCTATCATGGATATCTAGTCTTAGTTTCCATCCTCAAAGTCAATCTCAGCTGGTATTAAAAAATATTTACTCACTCCAAGTATATGGTCATTTTGCTGAGTAGATTAGCTTTACTCCTAAAAGTCCTTGGTGAAAGCCTAGCCACAGAAAAGGTTTATCAGATCTAGCAGAGCTTTTACTAAAAATGTTGAGAGACTTAAGAGATGGACATGGGGATCCAAATGTGGAGCCCTTACTAGAGAAATGGAGATAAAAAAGAAAAAAAATAACCCAGTACGAAGAAGGGAAGTGGTTTCCTATTGAAGCCATGAAAAGATGTTATCATCCATTTGACTGTATGCTTGTCTTACCGTTTCTTCCTATTTTTATACTGGGTAATTATAGAAACCAGCAATTTATTCTGTAGGTTTAAAAAAAAAATGGAAATATTTAAATTCTCAGAGTGGTTTATCAAACTGAAATATATAATTTCAAAGCATCTTCCACTTGAGTCATAAACACAGTAAGTGGTAAATAATGAAGACAACAGTGAGGATTCACGTTGAACATTTCTCTACACATGTCTGCTGACAGTCAATACTGTATCTGTCTTTGGAGATTCATAGACATAGATTGGATTATGACTTCAGGTCAGTTTTCTCAGAGTCTGGTACAGAGACGGCTCCCTCAACAAAATAATGGCTATTAATATTACAGTCATCCCTATAAAAATTTCCACAGATCCTCCTACACAACTGACCTGATGCTTTTACATTCAGGGTTAAGAACCAAAATTAGATAGCAGAAACTGTAACTTGGCACTACTTCTGAAAATGACGTACATAATCTCCACCAGTTCCTGTCTGTTGACAGCGCTTCAACTGCTCTTCCATCTTCACGACCACATTCCTCAAATTATTCTTTTCTTCAGTCAGTTGGCTGATATATCCCGTCAGTTCAGTATTTTGTCTGAGTAGTCTTTCAGTCAATGAACACCCAGAAGTACCTGGTAATACTAAGGTAGGCTGAGAAAATAAAATGGATGTAAGATCACACAAGCACAAATATATGTGAAAGTGTGACGAGGCACTGAGAGCAATAGATTTCACAAACTGTTGCTTGGTTAAATCATAGAAATTTAGCAAGCAAGAAAAAAATCTAGTAAACAGAAGGAAAGGCACATATAAAAGCTCAAAGGTTTATGCAAGAGTATATTGCTTTTAGGGAGCTGTAAATTGCTTGGTAAGGCTAGAGAGTAAAAGCTGCTTCACTTATGAATAACAGACATAAATGAGGGCAATGCAGAGTCTTTGTGAGCCATGAAAGGCTTTCAGCAGGAGCTTGCCACAAACAAAGTTCCTTTGGTAGCCATGTTCACAGTAAAGTAAATTAGGGTAGATACAATGTCCAAGTGTTAGGCAAACTCCTCGAGAGACAAAGAGAGAGAGAGACAGAGAGAGAGAGAGAGAGAGAGAGAGAGAAAGAAGAAGAAGGAGGAGGAGGAGGAGGAGGAGGAGGAGGGGGAAGGGGAGGGGGGGAGAGAAGTTTTTAATATTTATTTTTTTAGTTTTCAGTGGACACAACATCTTTATTTTATTTTTATGTGGTGCTGAGGATTGAACCCAGCGCCCCGCGCATGCCAGGGAAGCGCGTTACCGCTTGAGCCACATCCCCAGCCCTGGGCAAATGGGATGGATATTTAAGGAGGTAGAAGACATAGAACTTAGTGACTGCTTAGATGTACAGGTCAAGGGTGAAGGAAAACAGTGCATGGTGACTTGGGTTTTATACTGGGTGATGCCAATGACCAGAAAGGGGGTCTAGGGCATGAGGGAGAAAGGGAAGATGATGTTCAATTTGGAATGTGCCTGGGAATTTCCTAAGACACTATGGGGTATATTTCTTCTTCTTTTTTTTAATATTTATTTTTTAGTTGTAGTTGGACACAATACCTTTGTTTTATTATTTTTATGTGGTGCTGAGGATTGAACACAGGGCCTTGCACAGCGCTAGGCGAGTGCTCCTCTACTGAGCCACAACCCCAGCCCTGGGGTATACTTCTTAAAGAAAAGGTGTTAATCATTAAATGAACTTGGAGTCCAGGTCAAAGGTCTATAATGGAGCTACTGTCTACTTGACAATAATCTTCATGAGGGTAAGATTTCTGTTAAATTTGTTCATTGTATCCCTAGGACTTAGTATAGAACATGGCATATAGTAGGTGCTCAATATAAAATATATTATCACTTGCTAAGTCTAGTGAGCACTCAGGCTATGGGAATGATAAAAATATGAATAGATAAAAACATGAAAAATGATAGAAGAGGAACATATGAAAGAAACCGATAAAGAAGCAGATGAAAGAATACTGATTTAAAAGGCAAGGAAAGAGAAGGGTTCAAGAAGGTGGAAGACACTGAAAATGTCAAATTCTACAAAGTCAAGAAAGAAAGGGAGTGAGGAGATTTATCAGATTAGTCACTTGTGAAGACACTGGTAGGATTCTGCAGGTGGTTTTATGGAGTGGTGAGGGTACATCTCAGACTGCTCTTTCAAAAAGCCTGGTCTCTTAAAAAGAGGCCAATGTAACTTGGCAAATGTTATATTTAAAATTTAATAAAAGATCAAAATGCTTATATAGCATATACTGCCAGTTTCAAATGATTCATATATATTTTTTTAAGATGTTGATGGACGTTTATTTTATTCATTCATTTACATGCTGTGCTGAGAATCGAACCCAGTGCCTTACATATGCTAGGCAAGCTCTCTACCACTGAGCCACAACTTCAGGCCCATGATTCATAATTTCTATTAAATCTTTGCTCTTTATATTTTACAAAGAGTTTTAATTGAAAATCTTACCTCTTCACCTGGTTGGTGAGTTAATTTCTGTAATTGTAAAGTAATTTCATCAATAGTTTCCTGTGCCCAAATGAAAGCTTCATCATCTGCTGTTTCAAACTGTAGTCTTCAAAGAAAAGACAACGTCAATACAGACCTCCTCAGGGATGCTTACTAACACAAACACCACAGATTAGGGGACACACTGCTTTGCTTATCACTTGTTCCTTAGGCTAAGTGTTCTCTTTTCCTGGGTTAAGTGTTAAGGTATTTTCAGACATATGGGCTATTTTTAAAGAATGATGTTTCCTAATGTAAATATGCATCATCTTTAAAATTTTAATTCTCTACTCTTGGCTACCTATTCATAAGGGACAGAGTCTACCTAGCCTGTCTAAGAATGCCATTTCTGAAGATAAGACAGAAAAGTCTAACCTATTAGAGGCTTTCTGGGCTAGATGGTGCAGTTTTGAAGCCACAAGTTGAAGCTTTTGTCTGAGCATTTCTATTTCATGGTTATAACCAGTTTCTCCTCCATTCATTTCAGGGTAATTTGATTCTTTTGTCTCTCCTTCTATTTTCTGTTGAAGAACCCAATTCCTTGTTCGATCATTAGTTAAGCTCCAGGTGGTTGGCTGGTGATTTTGGATAAAACAAAACAATAATTATAAACATATAGTGTTTCATATTCTTTCTTAAGAGGGAGCACAATTATTGTTTATATTCCAAATAAGGTTTATAGAATTAATTTTGAATAATTTTCACTTAACTATTTAAATACTTTAATCAATATCAAAAGTTTTTGCTCAAGGGGCAAGTAACTTGCTCAAATAACTTAAAATATATTTAAAAAGAAACAAAGTGTCAATTTACCGCATTAAGATTCTGATATAGAATTCGTCTACTTCGTTTTTCTTCTCGTTCTAGTTCTTGTGTCTGGAATTCCAGCATAATTCCCTGCAATCGCTTTCCTTCAAGGTCTAACTTATAAACTTGTTGCCTCTTCTCCTCCAGCTGGCGCTGAAGATCTTCAACTTTGGACTGGAGCTCACGCATTTTTTTCTGCCCCTCAGTATTGGCCTCCTGTTCTGTCTGCAATGTCTTCCTGTGAACCTGTCTATCTTTTTCCATTTGCTGTCTCATTTGCAAAGAATCCAGTTTGTATTTTTCAGTTTCATTTAACAACTCTACTATACGACGGTGTTTTTCCTCCAGCTGTTTCTGTAGCTCTATAAGTAGGTCATCTGAGGGTAATGATGACCGAAGCTGCCCACTACTGTCACTGCTATGTAGCTGTGCATGGAACTGCCGTTCCCTATCTAGAATACTACTCATTTCTTGAATACGAATTTTTTCAGACTCAAGAAGTACTTGAAGCTCCAAGTTTCGGCCTTGTACTTCTGATAATTGGGCATCATATAGCATTCTCTGTGATTCTGTTTTCTGCTGTGATTCATTTAGTAGTTGTCTCTGTTCTTCCAAAAGTAGGTTTAGTTGAATATTTCTCTGTTTTTGATCCTCAAGTGAAAATTTCAAGTCCTTGTGAGAGAAAAATCAAATAACTTAAAAACTTAAAAATCAAATAACTTCATTAAAAATGTTTTGTAGTGGCTGGGAATGTAGCTCAGTTGTGGAATACTTGCCTTGCATATACAAGGCTCAGGGTTCGATCCCCAGCATCCCCCACTCCCCCCCCAAAAAAGCTTTGTAAATACATGATTACACCTTTATTAATATTAAATTGGTAGTATTTGGTAATAGAAAATACAACTTTTGTTCAGTTTATTAAATTTTCTCTCATTTGTGGAAGGAGACAGGAGGAGAGGGGGCAGGGGGGAAGGAATCTCATGAAAACAGAAAGAAGACCAGTAGAAGAAAGGCATCAAGATGGAGAGAGAAAGGGAGGCCATAGAGAAGTACTGGGGAATGAAATCTAATCAATTATGCTCTGTTCATGTACATATATAACACAATGAATCTCACTTTTACATGCAATTATAATGTACTAATTAAAAAAAAAATAAAAGAAGGCAGACCAGTAGAGGAAGGGAATCAGAGGAGAAGAGGTGGATGAAAGGGGAGCTACTGGGGAATAAGACTGATCAAATTATGTTATGTTCATGTACAAATGTGGCATAATGAATCTCACTATTGTTGTTACAATGCACCCCTCCTTCCCCCCAAAAAAGCTTGGTAAAATAATAACACTTTTAATCTTAAATATTAATCTTACATAGTTAAATATGAAGCAGGGAACATTTCTCCAAATGTGTTTTTGCTTCACAGTTTCACTATATTAATAGTGTTTTTTTATTGTTAAGTACTTCTGTATGAATAAGTTTCTGAGAAAGCCTAATGTTGTTCTTTTTTTAGTTTTTTAAAAATATATTTATATATATTTATAGGTGGACACAATACCTTTGTTTTATTTTTTTTATGTGGTGCTGATGATCGAATCCAGTGCCTCACGCATGCTAGGTGAGCACTCTACTACATGAGCCCCAGCCCCAGCTCCAGCCCCCAATGTTCATTTTAAATATTCTTGAAGTGTAATAGAAGGGCTCCTGGTACCAGGAAAGTATTCTTTTTATCCAAAACTACTTTAGTATTAAACCGACACAACTGCCCTATTTATCAAAATGTGTGTGTACTAATTCATATCCCCAAAATATGGTGCAGCAGAGCAATCTGTCTGCTTCCTCGGATGTAACAAAAATTTATCGTACCATTAACATTTCCTCATAATTCAGTTTAGATAACACTACAACAATATTCAACACATACAAGAGTCTAACGTTGTCATTTTTTTAAAAATATTTTTTTAGTTGTAGAGGGACACAATACCTTTATTTTATTTATTTATTTTTACGTGGTGCTGAGGTTTGAACCCAGTGCCCCACACGTGCTAGGCAAGCGCTCTACCACTGAGCCACAATCCCAGCGATTAAGGTTGACATTTTAGAGAAAAATCTCAAGAGTTTAGATTTTCAAAAAATAGAAGGGCAAAGAGAATACCTCAAGTTGTTCTTTATCTCTCTCTTCACTGCGTCCCAATTTGGCTTTTTCCTTCTCTAAGGCCCACTGGAGCTCTCTTGATTTTTTCTGTTCACTTGCTAGTGTATCATTAAGCAAACGTAGTTCATCTGTCTTGTCTTTTACTTCCAATCTAAATAAAATGAATAAATGAACTTTCATAAAACTATTCTATGTATTGAGAGAAACAGGCAACATTTTCACTAAAGGGCTGAGGCACATTATAAACTACCTAATAGAAAAATATAAACTATTTAGAGATTAAGGATTAACTGTGGTTTATTTCAAATTACCTGTTCCTAGTAGTACAACTACCATTATTTACCACTGTAACAATTATCCAATCTGTTTCTAGAAAAGAATATTAACAAAACATTTCCCTTGTCTTTTACTGAACATGGGAATTGTCATGCATTTTTACAAACGAAATACCTTAGTATTTATACCAACAAATATATCCTTTTCATAAGCGTTATATCTTCAAATACTGTGTATTTTAGCTAACTAAATTCTGAAACACATTGAGATCATAAAGGTTAAGTTCATATTGGCTGGAGGTAAAACAAAGATCACAAGTATATCTTATACAAGTCTCAAATAGAACTGAGGGCCACAATACAGATTGGGCCAAAACAATCTTAAACTTATAATTTGGAAAAATTGGGGATTTTCACCCTCTACTGTAGTTTTTTCCTATAAATAACAAAATCACATGCTACTTAAATAACATGTATTTTATTTTTATAATATCTGCATAATATTTATGACAAAAGTACTCCAATTCCTTCACTAATACACGTTTATAATAAGGAAGTGTGGTATACCTGAATGCTTCTAGTTCCTTTAGATGCTTATGCTGTGCCTTGAGTGTTGTTTCAAGTTCCAATTCCGTTTGTGCAAGTTCATTTTTTAGTTCAGCAACTACCATTTTTTCTGAACTCAGGTGTTCTTGAAGTTCACTTGCTTTGTCTTTCATATTGCTGAGCTCCACTTGCATCTCCAGAATTTGAGACTGCTTCTGCTGCATAGTATATTCCAAAAGTTCTAAAGAAAAAATGATCAATATTTATAATTTAACCTAGTAACTCCTATTTGGTTTATAAATATTTTATTGATAAGAACTGATTTGTAACATAGGAGATAACTGCAAAGCAATCATGAAAGGATTACAGTCCCCAAAGTTTAATACAAATAAACTTTATGCATGTTTTCCTCATAGTGGTAGTGGCCAAGATTTCAGAAGTATTTATGAAAATGATAAAAGTTTAACAACAGGGGCTGGGGTTGTGGCTCAGTGGTAGAGCGCTTGCCTAGCATGCATGAGGCACTGGGTTTTATCCTCAGCACTACATAAATGTAAAAACAAAGATAATGTGTCCACCTGAAACTAAAAAATATAAAAAAATAAAAAAATTTCTTTATTTATTAATTTTAGTTGTAGATGGACACAATACTTTTATTTATTTATTTTTATGTGGTGCTGGGGATTGAACCCAGTGCCTCACACAGTTAGCCACAACTCCAGCCCTCCAAGAACTTTTGAAAATCACACATAGTACTTGTAGGAGATATTCATGTATCTATGACTATAATGGTTGGCACTGTTTGCTTCTATTGTTCAGCCTCTCTTTGCAGACAGTCCTTAGGAACTTTACTTTTATAATTGTTCCAGAAATAGAAGTCCAAACTCCAGTTGAGATCTTGTTTTTTTCAATAAAAACGAACCAAACCCTCCATAATACACATTTGTTACAATGAAAACAAACTCAAGAATTTAAATCTCGGCTAGGTGTGGTGGTCAAGCCTGTAATCCTAGTGGCGCAGGAGGATCATGAGTTCAAAGCCAGCCTCAGGAATGGTGAGGTGCTAAGCAACTCAGTGAGACTCTGTCTTTACATAAAATATAAAAGAGGGCTCAGTGGTTGAGTTCAGTCCCTGAACTAAAATCTTATACATGTTAAGTAAAAACAGGTTACAAAATAAGCATCAGGATCCTGTTTTTATGACAAAAAATATACTTATGTACATATGGACATTGAAAAGGTCTGTAGACATATTTACTTGGGTGTTAAATAGTCATTATTTTAGGATTTATGTGACTCAAGATGTGATTTTTACTCTCTTGTTTTTTCTATTCCACCATAAATATGTAACATTACATATTTAATAAGAAAAGTTTTTACTTAAAATTCTAGCAAAGTTCATCAACAGACATTACAATTAGTAAGAATGATATTACAAGAAGGACATAACATTGACTTTAGATGATAATCATGTTAATTTAGCTTTTAAAACGATTTCTTAGGGGTAGAGGTTAATAATTTACACATATAAACATGAATCTACAGAGATACTCATTAAGACTTCAATAGCATTCTATATAAACAATATTAATTACCTCTAAAACTTTTCAATTAAGCCTTTGTCTACAGGGATATGTTTAACTTATTATACCTGTTTTCTCTGAAGAATTTTAACATGATTCAGCTTTTCAATGACAAATTTTGAGCTTGTGTGGTGATTTTAAAGTCTGCAAAAGCACAGGTGTTTCTATCATCACTACATGAAACAGTTACTAAAGATGCATGTGTCCTCAATAGATGAGAATTTAATAATGATTTCCATTTACAGTTAAATTAAATAGACTTTTATCAGAAAGTGGGGAAAAGATCCAAGCAAGCATATCACAAAAACAATAATCCAAATAGTTGATAATCATATGAAAAAGCACTAAGCCACTTGAATAATTAAAATCAATTAAAATTACAATTATGTACTGCACGCCAAACAGATTGGCAGCAAAGGTCTAACAATACTGGAAAGTTGGCAAAGTTGTATATAACACAACTCACATATACTTCTAGTGCATGCACAAATTGACAAAACTACATTTTTTTAAAAAGATTTATTTTTTAGTTGTAGTTGGACACAATATCTTTATTTTATTTATTTTTATGTGGTGCTGAGGATCAAATCCAGGGCCTCCAATGTGCTAGGTGAGTACTCTACCTGTGAGCCACAACCGCAGCCCCTAACAAAACTACTCTTTAAAATCGTTTGGTGTTCTCTAATAAATTTAAAGATATGAATTCTATGACCCAGCAATTTCACTCCTACAAAGACATAAGTACAATTGCATCAGAAACACTTTGCAACAGTGTCCACAACAGCAATGACTCTAATAGCTAAAAAGCAGAAACAATCCAAATCTAATCAACCACAGAATGAAATATAAGTTGTAGAATATCCAAACAAGAGAATTCTACATGGTAACAAAAATGAACTATAGATAAATGCAGTAAGTTGGGATAATTCAGGAAGGTGACAGAAGCAAGACATAAAATATACAGATAAAGTTCAAAAATAGAAAAACTTTAAACATATATGATTTTGGAATATATAAATTAGTAATAAAACTAAAGAAAAATCAGGATAACCTCTAAGTTACTAAAGAGGGGGCTTCAGAATGTTCTACTTCTTAACACAAGCAATGTCTCCTCCATAGACATTCATATAATAATGTCATACTGGGGCTGGAGTTATGTCTCAGCAGTAGAGTGCTCGCCTATCATGTGTGAGGCCCTGGGTTCAATCCTCAGCACCACATAAAAATAAATAAATTTTTTTTAAAAAAGGTATTAAGTCCAACAACTAAAAAATAAATATTAAAAAAATAAAAAAATAATGTCATACTGAAGAGTTGAATTGTTCACTTTTCTGTATGTTGTTATAGTTAAATTTTTAAAAAGAGGGATTAAAAAAGAAATGGCTACTTTCATTATGGATTTCCTTTTCCTTTAGGTAGTTATCTTCTAGTATGTAAAACACCTTTCTTAATGTACAGCTTTAAGAGAGTTCAACATCTCTAGCAATTAGAGAAATGCAAATCAAAACTATTCTAAGATTTTATCTCACTCCTGTCAGAATGGCAATCAATCATCAAGAATAGGCAACAACAAATGTTGGTGAGGATGTGGTGGAAAAGGCATACTCATACATTGCTGGAGGGACTGCAAATTGGTGCAACCACTATGGAAAGCAGTTTGGAGATTCCTCAGAAAACTGGGAATGGAACCACCCTTTGACCCAGCTATCCCATTCCTTGGTTTATATACCCAAAGGATTTAAAATCAGCATACTATAGTGATGCAGCTGTATCAATGTTTATAGCAGTTCAATTCACAATAGCTTATCTATGGAACCAACCTAGGTGTCAATCAACAGATGAATGGATAAAGAAAATGTGGTATATATACTCAATGGAATATTACTCAGAGCTTTAAAGGAGAGTGAAATTATGGCATTTGCCAGAAAATGGTTGGAGTAGGAGAATATCATGGTAAGCAAAATAAGCCAATCCCATAAAACTAAAGGCCAAATGTTTTCTCTAATTTGTGAATGCTAATTCACAATAAGGTGGGGGGTAGTAGGGAAGAATAGGATTACCTTAGATTAGGTAGAGGGAAGTGATGGGAGAAGAGGGGAGGGAATGTAGGGATAGGAAAGATAGTAGAATGAAACAGATATTATTACTGTATGTATATATGTGACTACATGACCAATATGATTCTTCAACATGTATACTCAGAAAAATGAGAAATTATATCCCATCTATTCATGATATATCAAAGTACATAAATGCATTCTACTGTCATGTATAACTAATCAAAACAAACAAACAAAAAAAGAGACCATGAAATTAATTTGTTTAACTTGGTCAAGGTAAGGCTACTGTATTTAAAATTAGATACAGTTGTTTAAAATCAATTTGACAATCCTCTAGCCACTACAGTAATTAATATAATTAATGTTATGAAAATGAGAAATCAATACCACTAAAAGGAAATGTTTTAACTGAGTAATAATAATGTAAAGTGAAATATTTTCACCCATTTGTGTAATTATATGAGTCTGTTTTGTAACATACCTAGGTTTGGTTTATCATTTTCTTGTTCTCTTTTCAAGGTCATTTTCTTGTCATTAATTTGAGCACGTAGTACTTCAATTTCAGATAATAAGCTTCTTCTGTCTATTTTTTGGAGATATTCTATAGCTGCTTGATATTCAATACCCTTTTTGTAACAAAGGAAAAGAAAAAATCAAGTGAAGAGAGTTGTAAAGATAATAAAATTAACAACCAGAAGTCTGAAGAATAAATGAACTACACATGCAAAAGTTTTTTTCTTTTAAAAATTTCATTATTTTTGTCTAAAATGTGGGAGGATTTCTTGCAGAAAGATGCTTCTTTACCTCTAAATACTGTAGTGTACTTCCTAAAAATAAGAGCATTCTTTTACATAACTGCAGTATAATGATCAAAAGAGTAATTAACTTATCATAATATTATCTGGTATAGAGAGTTTTTTCAAATTTTGCCAAAAGTTCTTTAAGAAAAAAAAAGTGATTCATAAGTATTCCTTTGTCTTTCGTGATCTTAAATTTTTTGAAGAGTACAGACAGGTTATTTTGTTGCATGTCCATTAATTTAAAAAAAACTTTTTTGGACTAATGTAAGTCAAAGTACTTGAGGGGTTCAGCCAGCTTTCCCCAATAATAGCTTATATAATCAGAGCACATTATCAAAACTAAGAAACTGACATGGATAAAATTCTATTTAAACTACAGGTTTTAATAAAATTTCATTTGTTTACATGTACTCATTTTTTCTCTTGGCATACAGTACTATGAAATTTCATCACTTGAACAGGTTCATATATATGTACCACAATAAGGATAAAAATTATTTTAATCACCACAGAGACTACTCTGTAGTCCTACCCTCTTCTCCCTAACCCTAACCTCTGGCAACTACTGATGTGTTCTCTATCACTATAATTTTGTCATTTTTAGAAGTTACATAACACACAGGAAGTTTAGGGTACTGATTGTTCCTTTTTTAATTGTTGAATAGTATTTCATTGTATGAATATATCACAGTTTCTCCATCTATTCACTTACTGGAGGACATCTGGGTTGTTTCAAGTATTTGGTTATTACAAAGAAAATTACTGTGAACATTCATAAATAGGTTCATAAATAGGCACAAGTTTTCATTTCTGTTGATTAAATATCTACACGTGTGACTGCTAGGCTGTGTAACAGATGTACGTTTACCTTTACAAGACACTGCCGGATTTAGTTTCCAGAGTAGCAGTCCTGCTTTACACTGCCTACCAGCAATGTATGTGACATGAAGTTTCTCTCCCTCTTTACCAGCATTTGGTGGTGTCACTATTTTTTATTTTGCCCAGTCTAATAGATGCATGGTGGCCTCAGTTAGTTTTGGTCTCATATTTTCCCAAGTGGATTCTGATTATGCATTTCATAGAAGTACAACAAATTAATTCCTTCGTATTAGGAAGTACTCGATGTCTTTTTTTCCCCATTACTGGTAATATTGATTCTGATCATTTGGGTGGGGTTTGCAAGGTTTCTCCAGTGTAAAGTTACTGTTTTTCCTTTTGTAGTTAAAAATGATCTTTTAGGGATTTTACTTTTCTTATCAACTTTTTCACATTAGTTTTAGCATCCACTGTTGATTATTGCTGAATTGATCATTACTATATTGTTGAATAAAGTATGATCTTATAATTCCTTTGTTCCTTCTACATTTAATAGCTGGCATTCAACTATGATAATATATATCCATCTACATGAGCTCATGAATTCTTATTTTACTCTTAACTTTAAAATCTGTCACTTTCATTTTGTTTGATCTTTTAATTTTCTAACTTTGGCCAGTGAGGGAACCTTCAACAGGCTTCTGTGACCTTCTGACATATTCCCTTATTTCTTTGAATAATTCTTTACATGCTGGCAAAATGAGGGATTCCAGGTTTACCTTATTGTCTTCCTACTCTATTCTTGGAATCACCAGATTCAAAAGGATTCCTAATTCTTTTTAACGGATAACGTATTTAAAAAACCAAGTCCTGGGTACTAAGTATTGTGAGAAGATTAAAAAAATTTTTTTGTTTTAGTTGTAGTTGGACACAAAACCTTTAATTAATTAATTTATTTATATGTGGTGCTAAGGATCTAACCCAGCACTGTACACTGAGTTGCAACCCCAGCCCTACTGATTTGATTCTGTTGTAGGTCTTTTCAGGTATTCTATTTCTTCCAGCATGAATTTTGATAAGTGATTTTTTTTTTTAAATTTCATCTCAATTTTTTTATTTGTATAAATAAAATAATTTATAATATTTTGTTATTTTATTTGTTACATGTTTAATTATGATCTCATCTTCATTTATAACATTTAAAAATCATAATGAATTCTCCAGAAAAGATTTTCTTATTTAGCATTTTCAAGGAACAAATTTTTTTTTTTTTTTTAAAGAGAGAGTGAGAGAGGAGAGAGAGAGAGAGAGAGAATTTTAATATTTATTTTTTAGTTATCGGCGGATACAACATCTTTGTTTTGTATGTGGTGCTGAGGATCGAACCCGGGCCGCACGCATGCCAGGCGAGCGCGCTACCACTTGAGCCACATCCCCAGCCCCAAGGAACAAATTTTTAATGTTTTATCTTCTATATTGTACTGGTTATATATTTCATTAATGTTTTTTACTTTATTATAGTTAATCCTCATTATTAACGGATCCTGTGTTTTCAGATTTGTCTACTTGATAAAAAGTTTTTGTAACCCTCAAATCAATACTTGTATTGCTTTGTCAGACATAGTTAGAGTAGTAAAAAATTTAAATTTCCTCATGCACATGTTCCTGGCTGAGTTAAACAAGGGCATACTCTACCTTTGTATTTTAGCTCTCATATTGTACACAAATGTCCTGTTTAGTAACTTGTTTTTCCATATTGTGCTTTTTATTTGTGATTTCGTGGTTTTAAATGGCCCACAAGTGAAGGGCTTGGTGTTCTTAAGTGCAAGAAATCTGTGACATGCTTTAAGGAGAAAAGTGTGTTAGATAAGCTTCTGTATGATTGCTCTTGGCCATGTTAAACATTAATGAATAATATACAACACAGAAGGTATCTTTTTTCTTTTTTTAATGGCACTGAGTACTGAGCCCAGGGCCAAGAGTATGCTACGCAAGCATTCTACCACTGGGATACATCTCTTCTCCCCTCCCCATATAAGATTTCTTTAAACAGAACCACACAGAAAATAAGATCATGTATTGACTGGTTGATGAAAATATTGTGATTGAGGCTTGCAGTAACCTATTCCTGTATTTACTGTGGGAAATATAACTACTGCAAATAATGAGAAGTGACTGTATCTTATTCCTTCTCTTTTCTTTAGGTTTTACTCCTCTTTCTAACTTTCCAAGTTTGAGGACTATCTCATTAATTTTAAGTTTTTCTTACTTTCTAATATAAGACAAAAGGTAATGTTCTTCTCCTAAATACTCTTAGTGGCCCCTGTTAAAAATGCTAATCTTCATACTTAAATTAAGACTCTAAAACAAATCAGCAACTGATTTTCTTATTACTATTAAAAATAGTATTCTTTAAAATAAAATTTTGTTTTGATACCTGTTCTTGTATTCGCTGTTCCAAACACTTTAATAATCCAACTGCATCTTTAGTGCCTAGAGCTGTCAGTTCAGTCTGAAATGCAGCTAGCAAAACATTGTGCTCCTTTAAGAAAACATGTTGGAGAGCAAGTAGAAATTCCCCTCGCCAGTCCGGGAGGCTCTCATGAGATTGAGAATTATCATAAACCTAGCAGAGTACGAATAACAAAAGTTAGGTTTCAAATAAGCATGTTTTAAAAACATTCTACTAACCAAAATAGGTATTTAAAAGAACGTATGTATTTTTGAGTCTGAAAATACATACAATAATTTATGTGAAAATTCATATAAAAAAGAATTTAATTTACAAAGTTCATTATTGTCATTAAAAATAACAATGCTACATAGAATATAATATTCTTTGGGTACCTCAGATTCCCTTTGCACTTGTATTTTGGTAATTAAATCCTTAAGAGATGAGATGATATTAAGGTAAGCTCTTCTCTCTTTTAGCCAAAATTCTGAAATCTGTTGAATAGAATGATCTTCTCTATCACCACATGGTGACTCAGTGAGAGAAAGCACCTGCATGCCCTCATTATGAACAGCTCTCAGTAATCCCTAGAAACCAAAATCCAAAAGCCAAAGTTATGACAACTTCTCCAAATACTGAAAAAATGAGAGCTACAAAGACAAATAAATATTAAGCAATATAGCATTATGAAGCAAAATAGATTTAGAAAAGCAACTGCAGAAAAGAAATTCCAGGCACCTTTACTAAATGCCTTCTTCCTGTGGAGAGCTAAGTCAATTGCAATAGATGGTCTATGATTTCCATAGCTTTCATCTCTAAGTTCCTTCAGTTTAGCTAATATACTCTTCCTAGATTTAATGATTAGCCATTGATTTAACCAAAAGAAATACTGTGGGAAAAACTTCCATTCCTTGAGACTGCTTTTATAATTTTGGCAAACAAAAACACCAATAATAAAAATTATTTTTTTAAATCTTCATAACATAATTATTTAATATATTGTATTTTATTATTTGTGGAATATGGAAATAAAATGAAATAGATTCTCATGGATTTTTTTTTTCTTTTAAGTCATTTATTTTAGCCTGTTTTCATTTGAAGCATGAGGTGAGTGCCACCCTTTGCTTCTATTTGATGGGGTGGACTGTACTAGACATTGTTTGAGCAACCAGGGATGGTACTTCCAACATCCTTTTTCCTCAATATCTAGTTAACAGAGAATTGACAAAAAGATCTGGTCACTAATCCTGGAAGAAAGGAGGGAGTGGAGGGCAGAATATTTTCTCCCTCTCTCTCTCCCTTCCTTCGATCTTTCTTGCTATACAGTTTTTTTCCGAGATCCAGTATATAACTTTAAATAAACTACTATGTTCAACATAGAAATTATACTGGCTAAGTTTACTAAAATATATTATGTTTCAGTAACATTTATCTTTTAGTACCTTTATTTTCTTTGGAAATGATTCTGTTAAATTTTCACCTTCTTCTCCTCGTCCTTCTGATGCTGTGTCAAATCCCTGATTTTGCGTAAGATAAACTCCCTGACTCCAGTCTGATCCAGAATCTAAAATAAAGAAAACAATCATTTGTTGTTAAACAAACAAACAAAAATAAAAAACATACCCTCTCCAAACAAAAATAACACGTTTTAATAAAATACTATAAACATTCCAGAATTTTATATAACTTACCACTGGAATATATTTCTCTAGTTTGGTAAGCATTAGAATACGTTATTTCAGGAATCAAGGATCCCTAATTAGAAAAAAGAAACAACATACATAAATATTTTTGTTTTAATAAAAACAGAACCCAATCAACTATTTTGCTGTTATAATGCTGTAAAAATAAAAAGGAAAGAAAAAGAAAAAAACTCAATCTAAGCATACTTGAAATGAAACTATCTTATGATTTATAACAATTTTTTCCTTATGGATATTACCATAGTAAGAAGAGATACTTATTATTTAAGGAACCATAACAAGTTGCAAATTTACATAAGAACTCTATTATCTAATACAATGGGGAGACTTAAATTCTAATAGTATAAAGAAGAGATATTTCCCAAATTTCTTTTAAAATTTTTGCTTAAAAACAGATTGTTGACAACAGTGGAAACTCCCCCCACATGACAACAACAAAATAAATACCTCTTTAAAAGGTCTCAGACACTGTATCACTGCCTTCAATGTACCACACTCCTCTGTCAGTAACTCAACAGCAACATAATGTTCCCTCTTTAGAGTTTCAGTTTCTGAAATATGTCTGGATTGCATATCCAAAATTTCAGAGGCATGAAGTTCTTGTATGCGTTCAATTCTTTCAGTAAATTGCCTAATTATTTCAGAGACTTTTTCTGAGGAACAGCTAGTCTGTACATCAATTTGAATTCCTGCATTTTTAACAAGAATTTGTGGAGTCTGGTTGCTCATGTTGACCTTGAGTATTTGGTCCGTTTGGGATGCAGTGTTTTTACCTACTTCAATAGGAAGTGGCTCTAAGCAGATGTTTCTATTTGTTGGTACTTCAGACTTATCCTCTTTTATTAAGAAGTGGGATAATTTCTTTTTTTCCTCACCAAGTTGATTCTTAACTTGGCTTAAATCTCTCTGAAGAGATGCCATATTTGTCTCTTTTACCTAAAACACAGATGAATTAAGTTGAAAATCTTGCACATCAAATGAAGAACTTACAGAGGAGAGGGAAAGAGTATAATTTCATTTATATGTTCACTTGCCTCAGAATAATAGGAAAAACACTTTGGAAATTGTAATACATATATACTTTCGCATGTATGTATGATCACAGGTTACTACAAAATTGAAATAATTTTATTAGCCTTTACTTTTGTTTCTCAGGGGATTTAAGTTCTCTTTAACAGCAGTTTTTCGCTTCCTTTGCTAAAAGACTAGAGATTAAAAGCATTCTTCTAATATAAAGATTCCTAGCAAAACAAGCAAGGAGATGGTGAATAGATTTATAACAATGGAATTTTTCAAAAAGACTTGTAAATTTAGTTTTTAAGTTATGGCTCTGGACTTGTTTCTAAAAGACATTTTGAAAGAGAATTAAGATGGGTAGAAATGAATGAATTAGGAGTTATGTTACTTGTCTTACCAAAAGCTCTTTTTGAAGTTTTTCTGTCCTTTCTTTGAAAGTGGCAAGTTCTTCTTTGGTAGCCACTAACTCGATTCTAAGAGCCTCAAGTTCTTCAAAAAATCCACTTTCTCCACTGGCATTTATTAACTCAGTAGTTGTCTGGATACAGTAGAAAACATAAGAAATACATCATTAAAAAAAAAAAAAGAGCTAAGTTCAAAGCATTTACACATTCTAATGAAGCTTTTCCAAGACTGACTGCCTAGGGGTTTTAGTGATAAATGCTCTTTCAACAAACAGTGAAACATTTTAAGAACCATCATTTTGTATTCTTAAGGAAATCAGAAGGATTTTCTGGGAATGAAAGACAAATCATGCCATTAATATATATAACATTTATAAATTATTGATAAAAATATTCTTTGTGCCATTCAAAAGTTTCATATTTATATTACTTTCCTCAAAAGATATGAGCTCAAAGATAATTATTATAAGTTATACCTAAAAAGTTATATTAATATTTTAATAATTATTACCTACAGAAATATGCAATTCCAATGAGCTAGGAAGAAAAAGTATAGTGAATGAAATTATTATCCTTTGCCAATATAAATTAAGTAGACATAAAATCCCAATGTATCAATTAATCTTCTGGGGCAGATAAGACTGAACTTCTGGTACTTGAAATTGTAAATTTATTAAGTGAGGGAACTTGAAAGAAAAAAATCTTTGTCATGTCTGTCATACACTAAGAAATAACTGCAATTTCTGATCTTTATGTAAGTAGACTTAGGTCAGTTACAAATTTTTCCTAAGAAGAATAAAATCTAGAGAGCCGCCCCCTCCCCCCGCGCCTGCAGGGTAGGCGGAACTGTGACCACCAGCAGAACAGGCCCAGTGGCCTGCTGAGGGGCAGAGCCGCCCCCTCCCCCTGCGCCTGCAAGGTAGGCGGAACTGTGACCACCAACAGACCAGGCCCAGTGGCCCGCGGAGGGGCAGAGCTGCCAACCACGCCTAAAGGTAGACGCACCTGCGACCCAACTGCAGAACAGGCGCAGCGGCCTGCTGAGGGGCAGAGCCGCCCCCTCCCCCCGAGCCTGCAAGATAGGCGGAACTGTGACCACCGACGGAACAGGCCCAGTGGGCCGTGGAGGAGCAGAGCTGCCAACCATGCCTGCAAGGTAGGCGGGCCTGCGACCCACCGGCAGAACAGGCGCAGTGGCCTGCTGAGGGGCAGAGCTGCCCCTCCCCCCGCGCCTGCAAGGTAGGCGGAGCTGTGACCACCGGAAGAACAGGCCCAGCGGCCTGCTGAGGGGCAGAGCCGCCCCCTCCCCCCGCGCCTGCAAGGTAGGCAGAACTGTGACCAGCGGCCTGCTGAGGGGCAGAGCCACCCCCTCCCCCAGCGCCTGCAACGTAGGCGGACCTCCGAACCCCCGGCAGAACAGGCCCAGCGGCCTGCTGAGGAGCAGAGCCGCCCCCTCCCCCCGCGCCTGCAAGGTAGGCGGACCTGTGACCCACCGGCAGAACAGGTCCAGCATCCCGAGGAGGGGCAGAGCTGCCCCACGCGCCTGCAAGGTAGGCGGACCTGCGACCACCAACAGAACAGGCCAGACCTGCAACCGACAGACAGAACAGGCCCAGCGGCCTGCGGAAGGGTAGAGCCGCCCCCCCCACCGCGCCTGCAAGGTAGGCGGACCTGCGACCCACCGGCAGAACAGGCCCAGTGGCCTGCAGAGGGGCAGTGCCGCTGCCAGTGCCGGCAAAGTAGGCAGAACTGGGACCACCGAAAGAACAAGCCCAGGGGCCTGCAGAGGGGCAGAGCCGCCGCCCGTGCCTGCAAGGTAGGCGGACCTGCTACTGACCGGCAGAACAGGCCCAGCGGCCTGCTGGCGTGGTAGGCACATTGCCCCAATAGGAGGAGGGGCAGAGCCGCTGCCCGCGCCTGCGAGGGAGACTTTGCAACTATACAAGAGCAATATAAATATATACGGGGAAAATTCAATAGCACAACAGTTTCACCAAGCAGAAAGAAACTTGAACAGTATGAAGAGACAAGGAAAGAAAGGACCACAAGCAATGCAGGTCAACTCAACGTTAGAAGAGGTAATATCTGCAGCAGATGGAATGTCAGATAAAGAATTCAGGATATACATGCTTCAGATGATCTGGAGTCTCAAGGGAGACATTAGACAGCAAAATCAGACAATGAAAGATCACTTCAACAATGAATTACATAAACAAATCCAGGAAGCAAAGGATCAACTATACAGGGAGATGGAGGTTATAAAAAACAAACAAACAGAAATCCTAGAAATGCAGGAAGCAATAAACCAACTTAAAAACTCAATTGAGAATACTACCAGCAGAGTAGAACACTTAGAAGATAGAACATCAGACAATGAAGACAAAGTATTTCAACTGGAAAAGAACATAGACAGCTCAGCAAGACTGTTAAGAAACCATGAGCAGAACATCCAAGAAATATGGGATAACATTAAGAGACCAAACTTAAGAGTCATTGGGATACAGGAAGGTATAGAACTCCATACCAAAGGAATGAACAATTTATTCAATGAAATAACACGAGAAAACTTCCCAGACTTGAAGAATGAGACACAATCCCAAATCCTAGAAGCCTACAGGATGCTGAATGTGCAAAATTATAAGAGATCCACACCTAGACACATTATAATGAAGATGCCCAACATACAGAATAAGGAGAGAATTTTAAAAGCTACAAGAGAAAGGAAGCAGATTACATTTAGGGGTAAGCCAATCAGGATAACAGCTGATCTTTCAACACAGACTCTGAAAGCTAGAAGATCCTGGAATAACATATTTCAAACCCTGAAAGAAAATGGGTTCCAACCAAGAATTGTGTATCCAGCGAAATTAAGCTTCAGGATGGAAGATGAAATTAAAACCATCCACGATAAACAAAAGTTAAAAGAATTTGCAGCTAGAAAACCATCTCTTCAAAACATCCTCGGCAAAACATTACAAGAAGAGGAAATGGAAAATAACAATGAAAACCAACAGTGGGAGGTAGGACACTAAAGGGGGGAAAAATAATCAAAGAGGAAAACAAACCATGTTTAGTAACATAAATAAACAAACATGGCTGGAAGAACAACCCATATCTCAATAATAACCCTAAATGTTAATGGCTTAAACTCACCAATTAAGAGACACAGGCTAGTAGAATGGATCACAAAACAAGACCCAACAATATGCTGCCTACAGGAGATGCATTTGATAGGAAAAGACATACATAGGCTGAAGGTGAAAGGTTGGGAAAAATCATATCACTCATATGGACTTTGGAAACAAGCAGGAGTGTCCATACTCATATCAAATAAAATAGATTTCAAGCCAAAGTTAATCAAAAGGGATAAAGACAGACACTACATACTGCTCAAGGGAACCATACAAAAAACAAGACATAACAATCATAAATATATATGCCCCAAACAATGGTGCAGCTATGTTCATCAAACAAACTCTTCTCAAGTTCAAGAGTCTAATAGACCACCATACAATAATCATGGGAGACTTCAACACACCTCTCTCACCACTGGACAGATCTTCCAAACAAAAGTTGAATAAGGAAACTATAGAGCTCAATAACACAATTAATAACCTAGACTTAAGTGACATATATAGAATATACTACCCAACATCAAGCAGTTACACATTTTTCTCAGCAGCATATGGATCCTTCTCAAAAATAGATCATATATTCTGTCACAGGGCAACTCTTAGACAATATAAAGGAGTAGAGATAATACCATGCACCTTATCTGATTATAATGGAATGAAATTGAAAATCAATGATAAAAGAAGGAAGGAAAAATCATGCATCACTTGGAGAATGAACAATAGGTTACTGAATGATCAATGGGTTATAGAAGACATCAAGGAGGAAATTAAAAAATTCTTAGAGATAAATGAAAACACAGACACAACATATCGGAATCTATGGGACACATTGAAAGCAGTTCTAAGAGGAAAATTCATTGCTTGGAGTTCATTCCTTAAAAAAAGAAAAAACCAACAAATAAATGATCTCATACTTCATCTCAAAATCCTAGAAAAAGAAGAGCAAAACAACAGCAAAAGAAGTAGAAGGCAAGAAATAATTAAAGTCAGAGCTGAAATTAATGAAATTGAAACAAAAGAAACAATTGAAAAAATTGACAAAACTAAAAGTTGGTTCTTTGAAAAAATAAATAAAATCGACAGACCCTTACCCATGCTAACAAAGAGAAGAAAGAAGAGAGAGAACGCAAATTACTAGCATACGGGATGAAAAAGGCAATATCACAACAGACACTTCAGAAATACAGAAGATAATTAGAAATTATTTTGAATCCTTATACTCCAATAAATTAGAAGATAGTGAAGGCATCGATAAATTTCTTAAGTCATATGATCTGCCCAGATTGAGTCAGGAGGATATAGACAACCTAAACAGACCAATATCAATTGAGGAAATAGAAGAAACCATCAAAAGACTACCAACTAAGAAAAGCCCAGGACCAGATGGGTATACAGCAGAGTTTTACAAAACCTTTAAAGAGGAACTAATACCAATACTTTTCAAGCTACTTCAGGAAATAGAAAAAGAGGGAGAACTTCCAAATTCATTCTACGAGGCCAACATCACCCTGATTCCTAAACCAGACAAAGACACTTCAAAGAAAGAAAACTACAGACCAATATCTCTAATGAACCTAGATGCAAAAATCCTCAATAAAATTCTGGCGAATCGGATACAAAAACATATCAAAAAAATTGTGCACCATGATCAAGTAGGATTCATCCCTGGGATGCAAGGCTGGTTCAATATACGGAAATCAATAAATGTTATTCACCACATCAATAGACTTAAAAATAAGAACCATATGATCGTCTCGATAGACGCGGAAAAAGCATTCGACAAAGTACAGCATCCCTTTATGTTCAAAACTCTAGAAAAACTAGGGATAACAGGAACATACCTCAATATTGTAAAAGCAATCTATGCTAAGCCTCAGGCTAGCATCATTCTGAATGGAGAAAAACTGAAGGCATTCCCTCTAAAATCTGGAACAAGACAGGGATGCCCTCTCTCACCACTTCTGTTAAACATAGTTCTCGAAACACTGGCCAGAGCAATTAGACAGACGAAAGAAATTAAAGGCACAAAAATAGGAAAAGAAGAACTTAAATTATCACTATTTGCAGGTGACATGATTCTATACCTAGCAGACCCAAAAGGGTCTACAAAGAAACGATTAGAGCTAATAAATGAATTCAGCAAAGTGGCAGGCTATAAAATCAACACGCATAAATCAAAGGCATTCCTGTATATCAGCGACAAATCCTCTGAAATGGAAATGAGGACAACCACTCCATTCACAATATCCTCAAGAAAAATAAAATACTTGGGAATCAACCTAACAAAAGACGTGAAAGACTTATACAATGAAAACTACAGAACCCTAAAGAGAGAAACAGAAGATCTTAGAAGATGGAAAAATATACCCTGTTCATGGATAGGCAGAACTAACATCATCAAAATGGCGATATTACCAAAAGTTCTCTATAGGTTTAATGCAATGCCAATCAAAATCCCAACAGCATTTCTTGTAGAAATAGAGAAAGCAATCATGAAATTCATATGGAAAAATAAAAGACCCAGAATAGCAAAAACAATGCTAAGCAGGAAGTGTCAATCAGGCGGTATAGCGATACCAGACTTCAAACTATACTACAGAGCAATAGTAACAAAAACAGCATGGTACTGGTACCAAAACAGGCGGGTGGACCAATGGTACAGAATAGAGGACACAGAAACCAATCCACAAAACTACAACTATCTTATATTTGATAAAGGGGCTAAAAGCATGCAATGGAGGAAGGATAGCATCTTCAACAAATGGTGCTGGGAAAACTGGAAATCCATATGCAACAAAATGAAACTGAATCCCTTTCTCTCGCCATGCACAAAAGTGAATTCAAAATGGATCAAGGAGCTTGATATCAAATCAGAGACACAGCGTCTGATAGAAGAAAAAGTTGGCTACGATCTACATACTGTGGGGTCGGGCTCCAAATTCCTCAATAGGACACCCATAGCACAAAAGTTAATAACTAGAATCAACAAATGGGACTTACTCAAACTAAAAAGTTTTTTTCTCAGCAAAAGAAACAATAAGAGAGGTAAATAGGGAGCCTACATCCCCTGGGAACAAATCTTTACTCCTCACACTTCAGATAGAGCCCTAATATCTAGAGTATACAAAGAACTCAAAAAATTAGACAATAAGATAACAAATAACCCAATCAACAAATGGGCCAAGGACCTGAACAGACACTTCTCAGAGGAGGACATACAATCAATCAACAAGTACATGAAAAAATGCTCACCATCTCTAGCAGTCAGAGAAATGCAAATCAAAACCACCCTAAGATACCATCTCACTCCAGTAAGATTGGCAGCCATTATGAAGTCAAACAACAACAAGTGCTAGCGAGGATGTGGGGAAAAGGGTACACTTGTACATTGCTGGTGGGACTGCAAATTGGTGCGGCCAATTTGGAAAGCAGTATGGAGATTTCTTGGAAAGCTGGGAATGGAACCCCCATTTGACCCAGCTATTCCCCTTCTCGGTCTATTCCCTAAAGACCTAAAAAGAGCATGCTACAGGGACACTGCTACATCGATGTTCATAGCAGCACAGTTCACAATAGCAAGACTGTGGAACCAACCTAGATGCCCTTCAATAGACGAATGGATAAAAAAAAAATGTGGCATTTACACACAATGGAGTATTACTCTGCATTATAAAATCACAAAATCATAGAATTTTCAGGAAAATGGATGGCATTAGAGCAGATTATGCTAAGTGAAGCTAGCCAATCCCTAAAAAACAAATGCCAAATGTCTTCTTTGATATAAGGAGAGTAACTAAGAACAGAGTAGGGACGAAGAGCAGGAGAAGAAGATTAACATTAAACTGGGATGAGAGGTGGGAGGGAAAGGAAGAGAGAAGGGAAATTGCATGGAAATGGAAGGAGACCCTCAGGGTTATACAAAATTTCATACAAGAGGAAGTGAGGGGAAAGGGGAAAATAATACAAGGGGGAGAAATGAATGACAGTAGAGGGGATAGAGAGAGAAGAGGGGAGGGGAGGGGAGGGGGGATAGTAGAGGATAGGAAAGGCAGCAGAATACAACAGACACTAGTATGGCAATATGTAAATCAATGGATGTGTAACTGATGTGATTCTGCAATTTGTATACGGGGTAAAAATGGGAGTTCATAACCCACTTGAATCAAAGTGTGAAATATGATATATCAAGAACTATGTAATGTTTTGAACAACCAACAATAAAAAAATTAAAAAAAAAAATAAAATCTATTATGAGGCATAAAATTTGCCAAGCTAATAACTTGTTACTCATATGTTAATTCAATATGAATATATTTTGATATTTTTATAATTGTATCTCACCTAGATAACTTTCACAGATTTTATGCCAAAATTATTTTTGCAAAAGTGTGGTATGACCATTTTATGAAGCTCTCCCCCAACCAAAAAAAAATTGTGCTGGAATTAATTAAAAATCATCTATTACTATTAATAAACTGTCTTTGGTGCAAGATTAGAATGTATAGAATACTTATGAATATACATTACTGTGGTGGTGATGATTATGGGGTGCACTATGATACTTAAAAGAGATGATGACATAACATACTTAGTAGAGGTACATTAAGGGAGAAAATATCCACAGAAATTCTAGAGGACATTTGCTAAATTTAATGTTTCCATATTTATTTGAACTGTTCTAATTAATGACAACCCTGATTGAATAAAGATGTTTGAAGATCACAAAATATAATTTGGGCCCATTATTCTAGTGATAATAAAATGACCCTATAGTATTAAATTTAATCTGGTCTCTATACCTTGAGTTTCTGTGTAAGAAACTGCAATGTAACTTGGTAGGAAAACAAATGAACAGAATATAATCAACTACTAAGTCTCAGCCAATGATAGTAGGCAACTATGTTTCAGCCAGTCATAGGCAATCAACCAATCAAATCACATCCAAACAAGGTCTAGCCATGACCAATCAAGCAATTTCTGAATTTTATTTGTGAGTTCTGCCTCTAAATACCACCCACTGTTGCACAGTGAAACTGTTTGAATCTCTTCTGGTTCTGAGTGTTGCACAATGCATGTAGCACTTTTTGCTCAAACAAACTCTTTAGTTTGTCTAAAGTTCTTTAAGAACAATATGATTTTTTTTTAATAAAATCCCATTATGTATAAATTGGTAGGTGTCAGCAGAACTGTTTGACTTAGTAAATTACCAATCAGCTTAATAAGCAAAGGAAAAAAAAAAAGAGTTTCTTAGGGTATTTATGTGAAAAACTCAAATACAAAACTAACCTTGAGAACAAAATCTCCGTGAGGGCTTCTTTTCCTTTCTTTTCCTTCTAGTTTTTTCTTACTGTCCTCCAACAACTTCTGCAGTTCTATCAGCTTCTTTTCTTTTTCCAAAGCATTTTTCTCTGCAGTTTCTACTTGTTCTTTTTCTGAAATCAAAGTAGTATGCATTTCAATCACTTGTCTTTCTAAGTCTGATATTCTCAAGGTTAATGCAGACATATCTGACTCCATCTTGTTTTCTGTTATTTGATTTAAATTCTGCATATTTTCCTTTTCAAGTTCTGATGAAGCTACTCCTTTATCTTGATAGAATTTCACATATTCCTGAACTGCCTCAAGTTGGACTTGACTTACAAGAGCAGCAGCTACTTTCTCCTCAAGTACTTTCTGTAGGTTTACGATCTTCTTCTGAAGCATTTCTGTTTCAGATTGGCCTTGTTCTTTTATGTCTTCTATTTGTTTATAACACTGGATAAGTTCTAAGTCCTTTGCGCTAACAGAGCTCTCAAGCTGTAGCAGTTTTGTTTCCAAATTTCTGGAAACTTTGGTGCTTTCTTCAAAAGATCTGAGATACATCTTGTTCTTAGGGGGTTTAAGAACATCTTCAATATGGATTACTTCCAGTTTGGGTTGGTCTTTGCTGAGATCATCTATAGTCATGCTAACACTTTCATCTGGTACACTTTGGATTTTTTCCTTATGGTCATGTTCTCTCTTCAAGTTGACTAATTCTTGTGTTAGCTGATCCATTTTAAAATTGGTTTCTTTAAGTATATTTTTTGTGAAGGCCATTTCTTCATTAGTGATTTCTACTTGCTGTTCCAAAGCCAGCTTTTCAGCTATAACCTTTTCCAACTGATGTTTCAAGCTGTCCTCTTGTTCTGAGGGGGAACTGGTATCCACCAACATATTCTGTTCAATATATGACAATTCCTCCTGAAGTTTTTCAATCACTTCATTGAGCTTGTCTGTTTCTTCTTCTCTATTTTTCTTCAAACTTTCATGATCACTCTTCCGACATTCTATTTGGACTTCAAGATCCCTTATCAGTTCATTTTTTTCTTCAAAATCCTATTAGTTAATGAAAAAGGGAAACACAGAAAAATATGTATTCATATTTTAAAATTTTGTTTTATTTTAGGGTAAAAACTTAAAGATGATCAGGCACAAAAGCTGTATGCTTGTCAGACACATTATGTTACTTTCAATATAGACCAACACCTCCCTTATCACATCAAACAAAGACCTTATTTAGAACATCATTCTGGAAGTTCTATTAAACATAAGTGGCTTATGCTTTTTTAGTATTTGATTTTCTATTAGGAAAATGTCAACACTAGTACATTTTATTGGAAAAGATAAAATACTGAATTAAGTCTATAACAGATGGCATCCAAAGCTAATTACTCTATTTAACTATATTAGATTTCAGATAATAACCAATTTTAAATGAGTATACCTTGTTATCTGTTGTAAGTCTAAGTTGTTGATGAAAGTCTCTAATTTGCTCATTTAATCGATCAATTTCTACCTCTTTTTCCTGTATTATTTGAGCAAATTTCCCAAATAGCATATGCTGGTCATGAGTAGAGATAGCCTCAGGATCCTTTATGGCAAATTTCAATTTCTCCATTTCATCCTAGTGACAAAAATAACCATCATAGTTGGATGTATTCATGACATGGCATTTTTCACAACATTGTTTCAATTAAGTCTTATAAAAAATACATTTCCTACAATGTACAAGTAAAAAAAATTAGACATAATGTAGATCAATAATTCTTGAAATATTTTCATAAAAAATCTCAAAAATTTAATTATGAGCAGAAAATAAGTTCCATGCAAATCTATTTGCTTGCTAGTGTTCTTCGAGTGAGTATTATTTAGATCTGGACTTAGTAAATGTTTATTATAACTACATAGGAGCAAAACTTATTATCTCTTTATAGAAAAAAGAATTTTCTAAAATAGTTACCTTGAATAATTTATTTTCTTGTTCAAGTTCCTGTAGACGGGTAGTGGATTCCTTTTTCTGTATTTCCAATTGCATATGTAGTTGCTGAACTTCTTCATTTTTATTTTCAAGCTCATCTCTAAATTGCTCTAGTTGTTCTTCTAAGTTTGTTATCTTTAATATCAAAATTATGAAAAGTAAAGAAAAAAAAACTTTATACAGATGTTTGTCAAGATAGAATTAAGAATGTTGGGGCTGGGGCTGTAGCTCAGTGGTAGAGCGCCTGTCGTGCACATGTGAGGCACTGGGTTCGATCCTCAGTACCACATAAAAATAAATAAAGATACTGTGTCCAACTACAACTAAAAAAAAAATTAAAAAAAAAGAATGTTGTATTTGCTTTACAAAGTACATATGCTTAATTCATAAGAATAAAGGAAAGTGGTTTTCTAAGCCAGCCATACCTGTATGGTTCCTAGACATGCTCACACTGCACATTCTTTTTTTTCTTTTTTGGTTTGTTTATTTTGTTTTTGTTTTGGCACTGGGGACTGAACCCAAGGGAGCTTTACCATGGAACCACATCCCCCCAGCCCTTTTTTTCATTTTATAGTTTTTAGATAGAGTCATGCTTAGTAAGTTGCTTGGGGTCTTGCTAAGGTGCTGAGGCTGGCCTCAAACTTGCAATCTTCCTGTCTCAGACTTCTGAGTTGTGGGATTATAGGTGTGTGCCACCGTGCCTGTCACACTGCACATTCTTAAACCATCTTGCCCAAGCAGAAGACACCTTTAAAGAAGGACACCAGGAAACATTTTCTACCATAAGCAGAAAGAGTCACAGAAAGGAGTAGTCCACATGCTAACTCTTACGTTAAATTCAGTTAGAATTAAGTCAGTTGCTATTGAAAAGCTTAGAAAAATTGTAGAATTAATTCAGTTATTCTAGTATCAAATAAAACTAACTTAATATAGTCCCACAAATATCTAATTATAATCCATTGAGTGCCCTGGCTGCTTTGTAGTTTGATTAAGCAGATGGAAGCAGAGATACACAATAAGGTCAAGAGATCCTTAGGTCTGAATTGCAGAGTAAGTTAACAAAATAATTTTAGTAGAAAATCAGAGAGCTCTTACTTATAGGAAAACAGAAATTTAATTTTTGAAGATGGATTATTAGTAATAAAAGTAAAATAATCCTCTTAGATGGTTACACAAAAAAAATGAACCTGATGACGAATATCAAGAGCTAATTATTGCTCTATTTAAAAAAATGGGTTTGATTGAGGACATTAGCAGTCACTTTATCTCACGGATTCACAGCTACTTAATATTTAATAAATGAATTTATAAACATATATTTATTTGATGATCAAAAATGTTGCATTAACAGCAACCTAAGATGCAGTAGCAGTGTTTAGTAGTAACTGGCTCAGAGCCAACTTTAAATCATTTAGTGCCTTAAAGTTGAAAAGGGGCATATGTTGCTTATATACTGATACATCACATAATTAGAATCATTCTAGCACAGGCAAGGCAAGGCCTTAAAAATCAGCCTAAAAAAAGAAATCAGCAAGGAAAAAAAAAATCAGCCTAATATTTCTTAAACAGAAATGGTATAAATACTAAATAATGGCTATTATTTATAGAGAATTACTGCTAGGCATGGGTACAAAGTACTTTATATATTGTTATTTTTTAAAAAGCCTGTTACAACCTTAGGAGCTCTATTCTATGATTAACCCCATTTCAGAAGTGAGGAAGGGAGTTACAGCAAGGAGTAACTTGTCCTGAGGTCACATGTCTACTATGTGGTGAAACCACCTTTTGAACCTGGGAATTCCAGTCCTAAACTATAATTTATCCTGTTTCTAATAACTAATGTCTAAGACCTCTATTTAAATTTTTTTTTGTAACACTGATATTAAACTCTGTAGACACTAAAATACATTTAGTGGTTGTACATATATAATTTCCAGGTTAGTTTATTGAAAATTGTGATGACTGTATCTTCTTCAAAGTTATCTGACAGTATTTACACCTATTCTTCTCTTCTATAGCAAATTTTAATGACAAGGTATTATAAAATCAACATACACATAGTTATTTAAGTTCAAAATTGCTGCCCCACCTCACATGACCTTTTTTTTTTCCCTTGTGACATCACTTAATAGTCTAATTCTTAGCTCTATGTCTTAAAAGCTCTGCTACTCAAAGTGTAGTCTCGGGAGCAGCAGAATAGGCATCATGTGAGAGCACGTTTGATGCACAGAATCTTGTGCTGCACTCAAGATCTGCATTTTGGGAGCTGAGGTTGTGGCTCAGTGGTAGAGCGCTTGCGTAGCATGCGTGAGGCACAGGGTTTGATCTTCAGCACCACATTAAAAAAAAAAAAAAGGTATTTAGTTTCTCTACAACTAAAAATTTTAAAAAAAGAGAAAGATTAAAAAAAAAAAGACCTGTACTTTAACAAGGTCCCCAGCTGATTCATATGCAGAGAAGGACTGGTTTAAAGTACTAACATTTTTATTTTAAGTAGCTGAACTTGAGACATCACATCAGACTTTAATTTCTCCAAATGACACTATGGAACATTCTTGTTATTCAAGCAGACTCTAGTTTCAGGCTGTCTTATAACAACACCCAAACCAGAAGAACATTAGAAAGGTTTAAACTTGTTTTACTTATCTACCAATTGATATTTAGACTATTTGGATGACACTGATTTGTACCTATTTGAGTTTTATTTTATTTTATTTTTTAAGTGTTTTTTTCTCTTAAAAAAAAAAGTATAGGGGCTGGGGTTGTGGCTCAGTGGTAGAGCGTTTGCCTGGCATGTGTGAGCCACTGCGTTAGATTCTCAGCACCACATATAATCAAAAAATAAAATAAAGGTCCATCAACAACTTAAAAAAATGTTAAAAAACTTATATATGTTCCACTAATTAGATAGCATATTCCTTGAAGTCTGGTGTTGATTTCACAACTGAACAAAAGTGCTCTACATGCAGAAACAGCTTAATAATAAATGTTGAATGACAGTCTTTAACATTTTTCACTAACAAGCAAAATATATTCAGTGTTCTGGCAGTATAGTATCATAGGGTTCCAGAATCAGTTCTTTCTGTCTGTACTAAGTACTAACCTCTCTTAAGGATCAGGTCACACACTGGCAAATTAGGAGATTTTAGAACAGAACCTATTCCCAGGAAGACAGTTAAGGGTTAATGGGACAAGGCATTTAATATACTTTCTAGCCCTCAGCCCTCAGCAAAGTTAACTATTATTTACTATTGCTATCTGTAAACTAGAGCTCATTAGTTCTACAGAGAGCTAAAACTTACTGAAGGAATCCTTTTCTCAAAATAACTATTGTCTCCACAATATTTCCTTCTCCTATAAGAAGCTGTTTTCTTCTTTTTATTCATCCCACATTTCTACATAGTCTAATGAACTTTCAAAAAAATGTTTTATACAAATTTAGGTTTTGGGAGTATTTGAACGTCTCAACAATAATGATACATAAGGATATCTTTATGTTTATACTCAATAGGACATCTGAAAACATTTGCCTAGTTTTCAGGATAGAATGCTTAAGTTATTTTCATTAACATTAAAAGACATATGTTTTAATTCTACATTCATACCTCTCATTATTCAGTTATAGGTAAGGGAGTGAGTTCTGATAGAATACTCATTATAGTTATGTAAAGCAAGTAAATGAAGAACAGATGCTCTCTATGGTTTCTTATAGTTCTGAACTACTAGTACTATGATCCTGAGTAAAAGGTAGATGTTTATTAGAAACTTAATTCAGGAAATTAAGGTGTTAGTAGATATATATTACATTCAAAAGATAATACAAATAATAGGGCATGGTGGCATATGAATGTAGTCCCAGCTACTCAGGAAGCTGATGTGAGAGAATTGCTTGAACCCTTGTAATTTGGAGTTTATAGGCAGCCTGGCACTATACTTAATGGCTTCCATCACAAAAACAAAAACAAAAAAACCTGTGTGTGTGTGTGTGTGTGTGTGTATGTATAGAATTAGGGCTAAGGAAATAACTCAGCGATGGAATGCTTGTATGAGGCCCTTTGAGCCCCAGAATACACACACAAATGAAGAGAAACAACTAGTAAGCTACACCAAGTATTCTTAATCAACTACCACTACTTTTAGATAGAGTTGTGAAGGTTCATTTTTGGGAGGAGGAGATTATTCAGTATTTAAGATAAATCATTAAGTATTAATTCCTTTCAAATATATAGAAATAGTTACACAAAAATAAATGTGCTCACTGCTTCAATGAAAACTCCAAACCTAATAAACAAGAACTTCTCAGATGTTACATAAAAATGGGAAAACGATCCTTCTCATGGATCATTTCAACTACAGTAATTTCTATGGATTCCTTTTTTCTTCTTTGAACTACACATTCGCTGAATTGTCATTTTAGCTGATATCTAAATTAGTTTTGTAAACAGATTTCCAAGTACTTATTAACAAATACTTCTACGATATTTAAGCAAAATAAGTATTTGTTAAAATAAATTTAAATGTTCTGAGAAAAATTCTATGGAAAGAGACAAAACATAATTAAAAACATCTTAAACATTTAAAATTATTTACTACTATACGATGTTGAGTATTATATGTTTTAGGAAAACTATTAGTAGACAAAGAAAGTTAAAATTACTATAGCTCTAAAGGTAAATTTTCTTTTCTTGTTCTCACAGGGGTATTATTATGTTGCCTAGGCTGACCTTAACCACCTTGGCTCAAGTGATTCATTCTCCTGCCTCAGCGTCCTGAGAAGCAGGGACTACAGGCATGCACCACCATGCCTAATTGGATCCTTCTCTTTAAGAAGGAGGGAGAAGGGCAACACAGGATAACTTTATAGTTACTTTCTTGTTATTATTATTTTGTGGTGCTGCAGATTCAAACCCACATTGAGCTAAATTCACATTCCTAGTTCATTATTAATCTTTTAAGCACAAGCTTCATACGTTGTAAAACAACACTATCAATTCTCAGGGAAAAGTTTAAAAAGAAAAAGGAAAGCAAGCAAACCCAAATTCACAGTAGAGAGGAGCAAAAACTCAACGCCCATAGCACGAACAGGAGAAAAGAGATGCTGCCTTTTGTCCTAACTACTATATTTCTCCACTGTCCTCTTCACTCAGCCCATACCTGCTAAATTGTCCTTTCTCCCTCTCTAAATTTCTTCTTGCTTCAAAGTGCTCACACTAGTTATCCTCTCAACCTGGAATAAACTTCCTTCATAAGCTTATCAGTTCACATGTTTATTGTCTTGAAGATCAATTTAGGCACTGAATTGAGAAAGTCTATACTTTGGTTTTAGACCACAAATTTCATTTTGTTCAAATGACATTTTCAAGGTAACTGATTTTAACATAACTCAAAACATATTTTGTCATTTAAAAATAAAGTGGTAGAGTGCTTGCCTAGTATGTGTGAGGCACTGGGTTCAATCCTCAGAACCATGTAAGTAAATAAAACAAAGATATTTGCCCATCTACATCTAACACACACACACACACACATGAAAGGAAAAAAAAAGTCCTTACCTCTTTCTCTTTTCTGTCAATAGCATCTCGCTCAGCTTGCAGTTGCACTTCTAGAGACAATTCTGCTTTAGCTTGTAAGGCTCCAAATTGTTTCTGGTCCTCTACCTTTAAATATATAAGAATGTTCTCAAATTTTCAGACATTAAATACTGATTATTCAGAGTGTGTGTGTGTGTGTGTGTGTGTGGGTGTATGTTTCCTTTTGGATAAGTAGCAATTCTCTCTGACCAGTTAGGAGGACAAACTCTACATTAGTGAATATCAAAAAGTTACAGATATTCAGTCTTGAATACATTCATAGAGTCAAACAGGAACTTTTGACACTTAAAATGCATTTCTCAGATAAAAATGAAGGCTCTTTCCCATCTGCCCCCACCCTCAAGCTTTCTTATTCAAGCTCTGATGTTTGTGTATCAAACTTTTCTTCATTAAAACACTTAATAAAGTTAACTCAAAATGTCACACCTTTTGAAAATTGTCTGTGCTAACAAGTAAGGCTTGTTCCAGTTCTCTCACTCTGAACTCTAGCCTTTCAATTTCTTCATTCCTCTCTTGTACATCTCTCTGAAGCTGTTCTTTTGATAGAAGCAGCTCACTGCACTTGTCTGTTTTTTCTTTTAGATCATTTGTTAACTGTTCAACCTGAAAATATAATAAACAAAAAAAATCTAAAAATTTGAAAAGTTCATAACTTTTAATTCATCTCAAAAATCATTTTTTTTCCAAAAAACATTTTGAAATGCTATATTAATTTCATTTTTTATAAGAATAGCAACTATTATCTCAAACAAAGGTTGATATTTCCCAAGTTGATAAGAACTAGGCAGCACTAGTAAACAACAAATATTGCTTTTGCTCAACCCTTTTTAGAAAAATTTCATTCTCTTAAGACTAAGACTTTAGCTAGGAAGAGGGGAAAACCACATTTTGAATGTTGAATTATCTAGTAATGGTACAATCATACTAAGACCTATGACCTTAAAGATGGCAAATTTGTAGAGTACTTACTGACTTGCTCTCAGAATGTGAAGTAAGATAACCTGAAAAAAAATCTTTCATGAATTACCTTTTGATAATAGTTATTTACAAAGCACTTTCAACCTGTACATTGCACCATCCCAGAATAGAGATGAGAATGGGTGGAAAGAGAGAGCTGTACATTTAGTGTCTTAATAGTTTCTCCTGCATCCAAAATAAATAATGACACATCTCACAACTTATCCCTGAAGACTGATATGCAAGTGCCTTCAATTCAATGGCTCTGTGATAGAAGAATACAGGAAGGATTAATAAGATAATTTATGAAATTAGTTCTGATCAAGAGGGAGAGGAGGTTCCTAAAAAGATAAGTGATGGTAAGAAATAAAAGAATACTACCTTTATTCAGTGAAATACTTGGAGGCAATTATACAAAATGACAATCATTATTCAGAACATTAAAAAAATGCAAGCTTAATTATAATTACAGGATTAAATTTTAACAGTAATAAAGCTACTGAGAATAATAGGTTGACTAAGTTTTGGATTACGTTCATGAGAAAAGGCTATAAAACAGGTACAATGAAATGGCATATTATAATATGTATTCACAGTTGGAATTTTTGGGTCTTCAGAAAATCAGAAGTTGGGATTAGTTCTGGCAGGGTAAGCAGAGAACAAATGGGTCACAATGTTCCTGAGGAAACTCAAACATACCTTAAAGTTTCATGAACTAGATGGGTCAACTTTCATATATTTTTTAAAAAATTATATAGTAGAAAATGGCAGTCAAAGTTCTAGATTTTGAATTATCTTTTGAGTTTCAATGAATAAGTCACTGTTTTTCAAAAGCTAAAAATACATTTGTTAGAAATAAGGGCAATGACGACTTCTCTGCTACTCTAGCAGATTTAACATTTCATTACAATGAACTTATAGGCATTTTATACTTCTTTGAGGTACTTTTAAGAGAAATGAATCAAGTAAACTTCTTAGAAATTGTAGATAATTTTCAGCAATAAAATTATTTTCAGAAATAATAGTAGTTGAATTTAAGTGTTAACTAAGGGCCACACTAATACTGCTATGCAGTGGGAGCTATTACTGTCTTTATTTTCGAAATGAATAAATAGATTTGAAAGGTTAAGTAGCTTAGTTACTGTCACACATCTACTACATAGCACAGCCATGATCCACACTGGGATTGCTTATCTCAAGCACAATCTCTTTATAACCAGGACAAGCCATCTTTAGAAATATATATAAGTGATATACATATAAATATATATAATATTTCCCATGTAGCATTTGTTTAATAAATGTAGAGTTTTCTGTATGAGGAAAATGGACAGTGGGAGTGACAGGGTAGAAGCAGGGAGACTGGTCAGGAAGCTACCTCACACATATAGGCAAATAATATGACAACTAAGACACAGGGAAATGAATAAAGGTGAAAAGAATAAAAAGATATAGTATAAATCTGATCCATTAGTAGTTTGGGATCAGGGCTGAGAAGGAGTGGGACTGAGGAAGAATTCTAGAACTTAGCAAAGAAGATGATTTAGAAGGCACAACATTTATTGAGATGAAGAAGGAATAATTTTATTCTTGTCTTTTTGATAAAGGCTAATCAGGAACCAAGAATATGATTCCTGGATATGTTAAAAATGAGACATCTACATGGAGACAGAGTAGGCAGTTGAAAATTCAAGTACAGAGTTCAACAGAGATGTTAGGAATAAAGGAACAACTGTGGGGCAATTTACAGATGACTGGGAAGAAAATGTAAGAACGGAAGAACAAGGACTCTAAGACTAAGTCATGAGGCACCCCTCATTTATTTTGGGTAGGCAGAAGACAAATAAATACTGGAGGAGAGAGACCACACTCTACAGTAGGTGTGTCATAGCAGTCAAGAGAAGGAGATACTTATAGAAGACTGTAATGAGTGTCTCCAAATGGTTGAGTAGTATTAAAGACAGAGAGGTGATTACTAGATACAGCCAAGAGGCTTTGGGTAACCTTCATAGGAACAGTTTAAATATACTAAGGGGTATAAAATTCCAAGAAAAAGATGTTGGAAACTTCATTGTAGTGGACTGTAAAAGAGAAGAGAAAGGGAAATAATTAGTAAAGAGTGACTACAGAGAATTATCAGTTTTGTTGGGATGGGAGTAGAGAATTAGGCAGAGAAGTTTATTTAATACTAGAAAATATATAAAGATGGAAATAATTCCAAATTTCTGTACAACATTTTTATGTTTTGTTTTTGATGGTGCTGGCATCAAATCCAGGGCTTCGGGTACGCTGGGCAAGTGTTCTACCATGAACTATAACCCCTAGTCCAATACAAACATTTTTTAGGGTTTATGACCTCCTCACATTTAAGTAACATTCAATGTCCTGATTTTTAAGATTTATACCTTATTCACTTTTAAGTTTTTCATAATGTAACTCTTACTTCACACTCAAGATACAAATAGGAAATACCAATAAAGTTCTTACCTCTCTAGTTTGATGTTCACCAACAGGCTGGATTCGAGGCACAACCTTAAGTTGTTGTTCTAACTTCTGTATTTCTTGTTGGAACACATCTCTCTCATGTTCTCTGTCAATGGCTTGCTCCTGAAATTGAACAATAATAAAAACAATAGTAATTGAAGAAACAATATTTATTAAACCTATTATCTCTCTTTAGTTATAGGTTGTTAAGTTTGTTTGAAAAGAAAGGACTGATGACCATGGAATCACAAAGATTTAAAAATATTTTTGGTATGACACATTACTTATTTGGGTTCTTCCACAAATTTTAAATACTTAAAATTTATTTGAAGTACATTTGTTTTCATTTAGGTAATGTTAAACTCAGAATGAAATAATTCTCCTCCATCAATGAATGTACTTGTACAATGGAGAAATTACACTGCTAACTCAGTCATTAAGCAAATAAACAAACTGTCTGGTAAATCAATTTCTTTAATCTTAAGTTTTATACCTAAAATTATAAATAGTATAAGACTCTAATTCTCTGATATGTGAAGAGAAAATCTGGCTTATAAGAAATCTTAAAGAAGACTATCCATGTGAAATTAAAGATTTAACATCTTTTTGGAAGAGAGCAATGGAAGCTTGGCAACTATTCTAGTGCAAGTGCCACACTGTTGTTACCTGTGTTCACACCTTTTGAGGTGGACACAATGGTAGACAATTAGCTCTTGGAATTCTTACTTGCTTTGGCTACTGGTTAAATGAGAGACTAGTAGAAGATTAACTATGAATTTTGGAACGTTAACTAGTAGGGCTTATTCACAAGCTAGTGGCACAAGTTTTGTTGTTGTTTAGGTTTTTTTTTTTTTTTTTTTTTTTTTTGGTGCTGGTGATTCAACCTAGGGCCGGCCTCATTTCATTCATGCTAAGCAGTGCTCTACCACTGAGCTACATTCCCTGCCCTAGTTTTACTATTTTCATTTTGATTGTTACATAATAAATTATTGGAATACTCTCTCCATTGGTGGAATACACACATAAGCAAAAATATTAAGAGTCCCTATAATTTAAAATTAAAATAATATAGAACAGTATCACATAGTATTCTACTGAGAAAAATCAATATCAAATTGCAAATACTTACATCTAAAAATTTTCTCATTTTTTCTAATTGCTTTTCCAGTGCTTGGTTTTGCTGTCTTAAATCCATTACTTCAGCATTTTTTTCTTGTTCCATCTCTATAAACCAACTGACTTGTTCTTCAACATCTATTTCCAAAGCTTTCATTTGTTTTTGAAGTTCATCATGTACTTTCTCAGCTTGACATTGCAATTCTAGCTTTTCCTTCATTAATTTTTCTGTCTCATGTAGTAATTCTGTTTATAAATGCAAAAGCATTCAGAGTTAATTATAATTAATAGTGCTTCCAGTAAATTTTACCTTCATGAAATAAAGGCTGAGAAATATTTTAAATCCATATTAAAAAGTAAATATTCTCTTATGGAAATAACAAAATATCTTACTGCTACACATACATAAACTAGTATTATTAAAATTATGCAGAATTAACAAAAAGAAAGTCCCGTCACAAAAACACCATTTTTGTAAAAACATAGCAAATGACAAAAAAAGCCACTTTTCACTATTAAGAATAGAACAAAATTGAATGAAATTTAAGCATAGAAAAAGAACATTTTATTTACCTCACACAAAAATTAATTCATTCCAAACCCATAAATCACTTTCATATGCATACATAATATACACAAAAAATCACTGTAAATCTTTAAACAAGCAAGGAAGAGTTGTAGAAGAAGAAATATGACTATACCCAGAATTTCCTGTTATTTTTACTCCTTATTAGATCCATATTACTGAGTTGTTTTTGCATGCTCACATGTATGTGCATCAAGGGAAAACTGACATGTGAGAGGCAGTGTGGTTAGCACTAAAAACAGACTATGTCTTCAAATCCTAGCTTGCCTCTTTTGTTTTACATGATATTCAATATGATGATCCTTGGTTTCCTTATATGTAAAATGGGAACTATATCATTGCCAATCTCTTACAGCAAATTTGGAATCAAATGAGTTAAAATATGTAAAACAGTAACTGTAGTACAGTAAGCACTATTGTGTTAGTTAATATCATTATTAATATAATAATAAAGTATAAAAGAAAAAGTAAACCAATCCTCTAATAAAGAAAATAGAAAGAACTTATCTCTAGAATCTTTATACTAACTGATGTGCCAACACTATACTCAGGACAAGGAATCAACAGAAAAAAATTTTCCTTTGAAAACAACACTGATACTAGATGTTAACAAAAAGTAAATCAATCAGAAAGCCTCTTACTAAATTCCATTGATCTTTTTACTACCATCATCTTATAAACTTCCTGACTTAGAAGAGGATTCTGGAAAGTCATAGACTACAAGATTTAATATATTTGTTTAAAAAAAAATTTCTTTGAAAAATTGAAATTGTTTTAAGTTTCATGCAAAACAGATAATAAGATGATGGTCATCATCAATCTCAGTTGTTAATTTCAAGTGAAAATGTGAACTTTCATAGTAAGACAAGTTGTTTTGTTGTTAAAAGAGAACAACTTTAAGAGTGAATCACAGCAGCAAAACTGCAAAATTAGAGACATGTTAGTTGGTTGAAAATCCAAGGGTTACTCAAAATTTGCATCTAAATCTACCACTCAAAAATAGTCCATGCAATTGTACGCACACACCTGCTTCAGGTGCTGCATCGACTGCAGCATCTACTAGTCCTATGAAAATAGAAAACAAGACACAACAAAAATATTATACATATTCTATTGGCTAAAATAAGATAATGCATGTGCCCACATATATATTAGAAGCAGACGCTGAAGCCACTGATTATCATCACTGGAGATTTTGAGAAGTTCCAATATTTCTTGAATATTTTACATGTATGACACAAAGTTTTTCCACATTTAAAAATTACAACCCTAAACCCATGTTAGACTAATTTCATCATTTTACAAAAAAATGTATGTTGTATTTCTTAATTGATCAAATGAAATTAGAGAAAGAGTTTATAATTCCAACTTATGTTTACTATAAAAGTGAGGACACAATAAATTGAATTTAAATTTTTACTATTATAAAGATTGACATTTACTGCTAAACAAACTTTAACGTCAAGATATTATTTAATTTCTTATCTAAGGAAAAATTAAGGTTATTTGTAAATTTAACTTCTCTTTGAACTCCTACTAAACTAGCGCCATTGATCTTTTCCATCTATTTGGCTTGCAAGCCCCAGACCTGCTTATTACTAAAACAAGTTCTTAGTTATTTAATCCGACAATACATTTTTTTGCTTTCTCTTTTCTATTAAAAAGCCTAAAGCTTACACAATTTATAAAATATTCTGCCCCTTTATTTGTAACCATCTCTTGAGGCAGATTTTTGGGGATAAGTAAAGAATTGTCTTTTCCTGTCAACAGTCAACATCTGTCAGAGATTTAAAAAGAAAGAAAAGAAAACCCTGGTTCTACTTGGTTGTCTAATAAGACAATTACCTATAAGGTATGTTTGGTTATAATTTTTTTGAATACACTTTTTTAGTTGTCAGTGGATCTTCATTTTACTTATATACAGTGTTGAGGATGGATCCCAGTGCCTCCCACATGCTAGGCAAGCGCGCTATCACTGAGTCACAACCTCAGCCCATTCTGCTATTATTTTTCAAGTTCCTATATGGTATATGAATAATGGCATTGAAAAAAAGGGGGAAAAATCACTCTTAATGTTTAAAGAATATAAATGAAAAGAAAAGTGTTCCAAAGTCTGAAAATACGTACGTTGTACAACTGGACTTGCTTCTGCTTTCATTGCCTCCTTCTGTCTTGACAATAATTCTTTTTCTGCTTGGATTTCTTGTTGTTCTGCTTCCAATTCTTGCAACCTATTACCTGCATGTAACAACTCCTGCTCAAGGCGATCTATTATATCAGTTTTTTCCTGAATTTGCCTTTCAAAAACAGTTTTTTCATCTGCGTAGCCATCAATGATACCTGTAAGATAAAATGAACAGGAAATGGAATTACAACTCATTTAAATTTGAACATTAATATGTTTTAATATGAACAACAAAAGAGCTGTTAGCAAAACTTTAAATCATTCAAACCTATTAAGAGTCTTGAATGAATTTGCTATTAATAGCAGCAACTTATTGACTTTTTTTTTTTTCAGTTGAAGATGGACACAATACCTTTATTTAGTATATTTTATGTGGTGCTGGGGACTGAAGCCAGTGCTTCATGTGTGCTATCAAATGTTCTACCACTGAACCACAACCCCAGCCTTTAACTTTTAATATGTACATTTGATTTAGTCGTCGTCTTCTTTTTTGAGTACCAGGAATTGAACCCAGGGGTGCTTTACCACTGAGTTACATCCCCAGTTCTATTTTATTTAGAAACAAGTCTCACTAAGTTGCTTAGGGCATTGCTAAATTGCTGAGGCTGGCATTGAATTAATAATCTTCCTGCCTCAGTGTCCCTGGGCATGTCACTGGGATTACAGGCATGTGCCACTGTGCCTGGCCTAATGCAATCTTCTTGTTTACCAACCTGACATTAATATGAAATTTCTCTAAACTTCCAAATACTTTGCTATACTGAAGTATCATCACGTTGTATATGCATAATTCACTTTATTAAAAAGATAAAAATAGACAAGTTCCTAGACAGCTTAATGTAAATCAGATATTATAAATCGAATCACAATTCTAATAGAGTAGAGGAAGGAGAATGGGAGAGGGGAAAGAAGACGGGAGGGAAAAGAAGGGGATCATGAACTGAAATTGATTTCCATGCATGTATGAGTTTGTTGAGATGAACTCAGCTACTATGTATGACTATGAAGCTCTAACAAAACATTTTCTCTCAAGTTGGTATTTTAATTCTAGAAGGGCAAGGTCAATACCACAGCATGGGGGAAGAAGAGGCAAAGCCCAAGGCTTTAGAGGCTTAAAGCCTATGGTCACCATTTAATGGTTACCTTAAACAATTCAATAACATCTTTACCTTCGGTTTTCTCATTTTTAAATTACAGGCATGTCTTAGGATGGTGGGATCATGGTAACAACTCTCCACCATCCATTTCTCTATTTTCTAAAATTCCTTTATATTTTCAGTAATTCTATAAGTTCCTTTTATATTTAAATGTGTATATGCAGTTTTAAAAACTGCTTGGAAAAACTCTGAAGACAAACCACAACTACTTCCAATGGCTGCTCTAAATTAGAGTAGATTTGTTTCTGAATTTGGCTGTACATCAAAATCTCTATTTTAAGACTGAAGTTCTGCTACTCTGACTTGCCAAAGGCAAGGTACTTACCCTCAGCCTTACTGAGCTCCACTGCCAGCTGTTCTCTGGCCCTAGACTCTTCATGAAGGCGCTCTAGCAGTTCTTCTTGGCATTTAAGGGACTCTGTTGCCTGTTGTTTCTGTTTGAATGACTCACGCATCAATTCTGTTTGTGTAACTTTTGCATGTTCAAGCTAAACAAGAAGGGAAAGAATACATGAAGGAAGATGAAGTGTTAGGAAAACCAGTGTCATTTTCCATTAAAGTAAGGATTTCAAATAAAAGACATATTACTGACTTACAGTCACTTAAGACAGTTCTAATGCATGTTAACATTTGTGGGGAGGATAAGTCAACAGTAGACTCCACATTTGTTTTGAACACTTTAGAATTCGGAGGCATTAAAAATACAGCCTTCTTAGAATGCTATCATTGGCATATACTGACTCCATTTTTAAAATAGTTTTTAAGATGGTAATACACACTTGAGGCCAAAGCTCTCGATCAGGAAGTAGTTGAATCGCGATCACTTAATCATTTGTGTGAAATTACAAAAAAGCACTAACTTTGCTTTAGTTATCTGAGCTTTTATATGTCACCATCTACTTATCTTTTTTACTGAAACAACTACATGCAGAAAAAAAAAAAAAACTCCACAGAAAACAAAATTGAGCTCAAATGTTTCTAGTACTTAGCCCCAGAATTTTAAGAAATAATTGTATGTATTGACAACAGGCTTACAGCAAGTCTTTTAAATAAATTTTGTAAATTTACATAAGTTTGTGTATCAGAAAGACATTACTGCCATGTTTTAAGCTTAAAATGATAAAATGTAGTGGTTTCTAAGGTTTCTAATTAGACATTAATAATGTATTATAAAATTAAGATAATATTTAAAATCTTATTCTTAAAGACTTCTGCTCCTCACACCTGAGTGTTATTGACAAACCAAATCAATTTCCAAAATATTCAGTATGCAATTATTGTTTTTTTAATTTAATGTATTTTTTTTTTTTTTTTTAGTTGTAGGTGGACACAATACCTTTGTTTTACTTATTTATTTTTATGTGGTGCTGAGGATTGAACCTAGTGCCTCACATGTCAGGGAATCACTCTACCACTGAGCTACAACCCCAACCCCAATAATTGTTGTTTTAAAAGAATGTTTAAATTTTATTTATAACCTATTATTTAAAAATGAGCATAGATATAAGACTCATAATGGAAAATTAAACAAATTTTAATTTGTAAATAATTTCCTAAAATATCTGTGAAAATATATTGTTACTTTAAAAAGGAAAAATTTTATGAACATGTTCATTTTTAACTACCAAGAGTATTTTCCTTTAAATGTGGATAAATACTATATTTTAATTTTTACTATAAAGAAAATGACCATGAAGTATAAATGTTGTACACAACTACTCTCCTGAATTTAGTCAATACATTTTTTAAAATACATTAATTGCTTCAATATGTACATAATTTTTTATTATATACTAATGACCTAGAAAATATATGAAATATAGAGTTCAAAGTTATAACTAAAAAAAGATGAACTATTTTCCAAATTTACTACAGAAATTCAATAGAGTATTTACAATAAAATAAATATTTGCTTTAGATAAATTTAATAAGTCTTTGCCTCTATGCTCCATTTCATGACAAGATCTAAACCACCTTCACATACATTTATATATTTACCAGAAATCATGAAAAAAACCTTCAGTTTTAGAAACAAAGCAAAAACCTCAAGCAATCAAATAAGTAAGGGTAATATATTTTATTTACAATAGCAGTTGGGATCCACTTCATTTGGGATAAGAGTCCCCCTTAAAATTCTCATTTACATACTTTACATAATACCTTCTATCCAGTTAAGGTATGATTTATTCCTAATATCTATAATAGTATGCATTATATAAAAATTTTAAACTCAATATTTTCAAAGTATTTAGTAAACTCACCATTATACTTAAAGTATGGATAAGCTTTAGTAAAGATTATGACACTTAAAACAAAAGTTGTAGAAGGGGTAACAACACTATTCTAAAAACCATCTGGTTTGTTAAATATTAGCTAGCATGTACAGTTAAAGCCACCAAAGTCATAAAAAGTGCTGAATAACTTGTAGTCAATCATTCACAACATATTTGAGAATCAAATAAACCTGGAATACTGAATATGCAGGTATCTTTATGCTAAACACTTTAGCAATGTTTATAAATTTCACATAAAAAACAGAAAAAATATATTTCTCTACAGAATTAGTTGACATTTAGAAAACTGAAAATAAGTTCCTTATGGTGTAAGAAAATCTAGAATCCAAGTTTGTTTTTACCTTGCCTGGAACTACTGTCAGTATGTCATGGATGTAAACAATTTATTTAGCTGGTCTAGATATCACAATACCTATTCTCTCAAATATAATCATTCCATTTTTATTCCCATTTTTATTCAGGATTGGATTCATAAACATACAAAAACAAGAATCTTAAAGACAAGCAGAATATTTTTTAAACAATTCACCGGGCACTGGAGAAGTGTAATATTATCTCATTCTGCTTTCTGGAATTAAGAACACAGCCAAGTTGGGACTTTTAGATCAAATTGAGCCCTCTGATACATTTAGGATGAATGGGCAGCAGTATATACCAAACAATAACAAAATAAGGTTCTATTCTGTTAACCTTATTAACAATACTTAAAATTTCATTTCTCATTATACTTATTTGTTAAACTAAATTAATATTTTATACTTACTGAATAAGGAGGGGTAGGCAGTGAAATTTTAGAAATTAGCTTTAATATGTGCCCATTTCTTTTATGAATCAAGTGGAAAATAGAAGTATTAATAATTACTGAGTTATTTTCATCCAAATGTTCACACAAAGGAAAAGGATACGGTAAAGGCACTCGAGATTCAACCTCATAAATATCTTCATCTTGTTCTTCCAACCAAGAGCCATCAAGTTTGACAGTTGCCAAATAGGTCCTGTAAGAATCCATTCTAGAAGATGAAGGAGCCAAGCTTCTTCAATTATCAGTTTTCTACTACATTAAAAAGTTCCTTTTAGTTTATCAAGATATTCCATTCTGTTTAGTGCTATCAAATACATAAAAAAATTAATTCATACTACTGAACAATAAAAAGGGTGAAAATGTCTGGGTGGGGGGGAAACCCTACAAATCTAAAAAACAAAAACAAAACAGAAAGACTCCTAAATGTCTACCAGTCTTTATCCGAAGAATCCAAAATAACACAACAAAAAACTGCACAAAAAACCAAAAGCACGCAAACAAAACACCACTGTTTTACCTAGAATAGGTAAATCCTTGAAGAATAAAAGAATGAAAACATAAATGTGTAATATGCTGAGCAATAAAACTGCTTTCGGTATCAAATTTGTCTGTGGTATTAAGTAAGCCTTCCAAGCAGAACCTGGCAGGGAAGGTCAGGTTTTAAATCTCCATAGTAGCAGTCTTGAGAATCGTAGTTGCAACATTATTTCCCTCGGTCTTGCAGCTTCGTCCTATTCAAAAGGAAAAGCTCTTCCAAATGGAGCTGCTCAAATAGCCTTGCAGGCTGAGCCAGAGGATTCTAGTCAGTGTCCCCTGAGGAAAAGGTCAGAACAGAGGGTGTGGTTTAATGTCTTTACCTATATGTGCACTGACAGGTGGAATGTGAATTAATACGCCCACAAAAAAGCCTGCCTAACAGGATCCAAGTTCCACGTCAGATCTTTGAAAGAGTTATTTAGAGAAGTTTATAATGTGTCTAAGATAAGCTGGTATTTTTCCACCCTACTAAAAATTGTTTTAATTAAAAAATGTGAATAAAATGTTTGAGTTTACATTACTAATCAGCTATTCAAGCATATCAAATAATCATAATTATTTCTGGAAATTAAATTAGAATTTCTTTTTGATAATTCCTTAGATGTAATACTTTTGAGCAGCCACTGAGGCTAAATATAGATAATTCAGTTATAACTTATTTTCACATTGACTTATTTATAGAGTGCATATTAAGGAAAAAATTCTTTGTAGAGCCACTTTGTATATAAGTCGATAATTACACCACTTAAGGTAGCCTATGAACCCTGACTGAAATGTAAAAACAACAAATTGTCCATAATAGTTAGCTTCAGGTTGTTCCAGAAGCCTGAGCAATACCGAATGAACCAGCCATTCATAATTTTAAAAGATAAATAACTTACTTATTACTAATAAAAGACTCTCAATAATGAAAGTTGTTTTAAATAAAAGAAAAGACTTTCATTTTGGTGCCTTTTTTCCCCATCTGGTAACTGAATATCCTAAACCCACAAAGCCTTTATCTAAATGGAAAAAAACCATACTAAAGCAAGTGACAGGCTTAAAAAGGCCTTTTATAGCTACTCTGACTACATAGTTTCCAAGAGCTAGTACTTAAACCCTTCTCAGCAGACTAGTAACTGAGGCAGAGAAAATGAAATTGTTTTATATACAAGTCCCAAAGTTGCAAGGAGATGTAGTTGGGGAGGGGCAGTTGCTTCTTAAAGTTCTGAAAATTTTTGTTTATTACAGTTTCTTATATCCTGCAGTTAGTCTGTCAAGACGTCTTAACACCTATATGAGATGGAGGCCAGACCTTATGACTGTTGCAGCTAAATGTGATTTTTTTTTTTAAAGAGAGGGAGAGGGAGAGAGAGAGAGAGAGAGAGAGAGAGAGAGAGAGAGAGAGAGAGAGATTTAATATTTATTTTTTAGTTATTGGCAGACACAACATCTTTGTTTGTATGTGGTGCTGAGGATCGAATCCAGGCCGCACGCATGCCAGGCGAGTGCGCTACCGCTTGAGCCATATCCCCAGCCCAAGCAGCTAAATGTGATTTTAATGAAGCTCCAGCAGACGTAAAATCATCAATACCCTAGCTGTTCACACATTATGAACTGGTGGATCCCACACCTAGCCTATGAGATACCTCTTAAAATACTCTTTCCCTGCTTCTTTTGCAAATTAGTTATTTTGATAATCATCCAATTTCTCTCATTTGAGGTAAAAACAAAACTGTGGGTAAGAAATAATTATTCATAAATAGCAGCATTTAAGTCAACATAAGAATTAACAACAAAGAAAGAAAAAAGAAAGAAAGAAATAACTAAGGAGAAAAATAGACTCAAAGAGTAACAGATAAAGATGACCCAGAAT